AGCAACATCAGAATGGCTAGGGTGAGCTGAGTGCTGAAGACCAGGATCCTCTCTGCTCTGTGGGCTGCTCACAGGCAGCCTGGTGGACCAAGGCTTAGGATGCTAAGGGTCACATTCCAAATGATGGGTCATCACTACCCGTCCTTGACAGTGGGACAGGTCTTTGTCATTCACAGTCATCCACAGGGTATTAGATGGCCAAGCTGGGGCCCCAGCCAATTGCAGACCAAGTTCCTGTTAGCTGAGGGCCTCCTGGGTTGGCCTGACTCCTCTCAGGAAAGGGCTGCATTATCTGAAACTCTGATCTTATCATCCTGCTATTTAAAATCCTCCCCATCTGCTAGAGGAGGAAGCCCACACTCGGCCGTTCAGCAGGCCCTCACGGATCTGGCTCCATTTCCCTCCCAGGCTCGTCTCAGCCCCCTTCCTCACTCATGTGCTGAGCCATTGGCACGTCACAGCATCATGCTCTCCCTTACTCCATGCCTCTGTACGTGCTTACCCTCTCCACCCAGAATGCTCTCCTCACCCTCCCCGCCCCCCAATATGCTAACTTCATGTGAAAAATTCCTGCTTGACCTTCAGGCAGAGCTCAGAAGCATCTTTTCCAGGAGCCTTTGGACCAGCAGATCCTTGGATGCCTCTGCCCAGGCCCCATCTCACCCTGTTGCCCCTTTTCTGCTCACACCACTGGTAATTATCTGCCTGTGTACCTGGCCCCCCAGTTCATGACCTCCTCAGAGGCCGAGGCCATCTGTGTGTCCTCAGCACCCACTGGCAGGGCCTGGCTCAGATTAAGTGCTCAGTAAATATTTATTGAATAAATTGTCCCCTCCACCTAGAATTCTCTCCCCATGCCACCATATGTCCAACTTCAACCCATCTGTCTGGGCCCATTAAACCAGATTCTCCAAGAAATGTCTTTGCCGAGTCACAATTTAATTTAATATTACACCCTCACCTTTTATCAAGGGCCCATTTATGGGGCTAAAGCTTCCAGTTGAAGAATGATTCAGCATCTTCTATAAAAGACTGTTGTTCAGTGTGTGACTTAGTGCCCCTGAGATAAAGGGCCACAGGATAGATCCTAGCAGAATTTAGCACCAGGAAATGGGCTGTGCTCTCCCCATGAACTTGTGTCTACTTCCTTCCTTCAGTCAGGCAATTGTAATTCAATAAGCCACTCTCTTTTCTTTTTAACCTTGGCTGCCAGAAAGTTGGAGCCAAATTCAACACTCTGGGCAATGACCATCTTATCTCAGGTTCCTGGAGGATTATCTCTTGTACTGATCACTTGTGTTTATTTCTCTAACTGTCCTGCGTGTTTGGGCTTTTACTGTGTGCTGCCTCAGGCCCTTTGGGAGAGGGAGCAAGATGTAAATTGCAGATGAAGTTATTAAAATGAGAACATTAGGTGCGATTTAATTGGAATGATATGCCAGATAGACATTTTAAGGATGTCCACAGACATTGGTCTTCTGGCTTGGGTCCTGGCTCAGCCCAGGCTGTGGTCAGCTGTGGACCGTTATGGACAGATGGCCTCTGCCGGCTACAGCCGTGTTTCTGGAACACCTCGTGTCAGAGGCATCTTAGATTTGTGAGTGATTGAGTTTTATTTCATGTTCCTTGACGGCATCCCTTATGCCCTCGGGATGCACTTGGGCTCCAGAGACCCCTCAAGACACAAAACAAAAGTCACAGCACCTCCATGGGCACCAAGGGGACAGCCCTGAAGGGGGAGACTCTGGTCTCACCTGTTCAGTGCTCTCCAGAGGATGGGCTGTTTACTAGAAATTCTCAGGTCCATGGAGCAGACAGCTGGGAAACTGTCTGCAATCCTGGCATCTTCTGACCACTGTGTGCCCTGGTACAGCCATTCCAGTTGTTGAGCAAAGACAGCCCTTACATTTTGATGATTTTTCCACACATCCATATGAGCAGAAACATAGGCTATGGCACCCACAAAGACTTTTCCTCTTTTTTGGTGGGGGAATTCCAACCAAAGTACCTCTTTGTAAATGATGCATCAACCGGGCACTCCTTCAGCACTTATGTGGCCACCATACTCAGGCTCCCTTTAGGCCTACAGTCTGATGGGCAAGATTAGGCACACACAGAGTGGCATCTTCTCTATGGCATGTGCCTGCAGATTGACTCTTGGTTTTAAGTTGGAGTTACTGTGCTGAGGTACTGGCCTTCCTTTTCTAAAATATGAGCTAGGATTGAATTCAGACTTAATGGGTGAAAAAATGAGTGAGAACATGTATTAGTCAGACTGTGCTAGGTTTTACTGTGGTAACAACAACAAAAGATGAGCAACTCAATGGATTAAAACAATAAAGATTCTTTATTCACCATAACACTTGTCCATGGAGGGTCAACTATAGCTTGGCCATAGCTTTTTAAGTCCAGGATATAGCTGGTGGAGCACCTTCTGGGATGGTTTTGGTGGTAGGGGAAAAGAGTGCATGACAGAGTGTACACTGACTTTTAGAGTTTCCACTCTAAAGTGTCACATGTCATTTCCACTCATATTTCAGTGGCCAGAACATGTTAACTCTCCATGCATGAGTTCAGTGGGGCAGGCAGGAACAGTCCTACCATATGCCCAGAGGGGAGAGAAAAGCAGATATTGGTGTCCAGCCATAACAACTACTGTAGTCAAGTCCACCCAACTTCCTATCGCTGTCACAAACATCGCCCTATCCACTGGAAAGTGAGTTTCATCAGAACACAGAAAGAGGGACGGTTGTAGTTTATTTACTGCCGTATCCCCAGCACCTGAAAAAGTGCCTGGCACATAGTACACACTCAATAGATAATATTAGTTGAATACCTGAATGAATCTAGCCTTAGAGCCATCTTACGGGGTATTCTCCTGCAGACTCTACTGTCATAGTCCTGCAGACTCTACTGCCAAATCCTATCCTAATCCATCACTCTGCCCATCTCCACTGCTACCCCTGAGGTCCAAAGCACCACCATCTTTCATCACCTGGCATCCAGAAGGGGACGCTCTGAGCTAAAGCTACAGTTGGCACACAATGGACAAGAGGTAGGATGAGAATAAACAACCACCTTTATTGTTTAAGCCACTGAGTTGTTGTTTATTGTTGTTGTTACCAAAACTTTATAAGCAAGCTCTTGCTCTCACTCATTGCCCCTTCCAATCCATTCTCACATGGCAGAGGAATCTTTTTTAGATATAATTCACATACCATAAAATTCAATTTTAAAATGTATAATACAGTGGTTTTAGTACATTCATAATGCTGTAGAGCTATCCACTTTAATTCCATAAAAGTTTATCACCCCGAAAAGAAACCCTGTTTATTTTACCCATGAATCCCCGTATCGCCTTCCTTCCAGCCTGTGGATTTGCCAACTCTGGATATTTCATATCAATGGAATCATAGAATATGTGGGACTTTTTTGTGTCTGGCTTCTTTCAGTTATCAGAATGTTTTTAAAGTTCCTCCACGTAGTAGCATGTATCAGTTCTTCATTCCTTTTTGTGGCTGAATAATGTTCCCTTATATTGATATGAGAGTCCTGGTGCACAAAATTCGTGCACTCGGAGGGTTCCCTCAGCCTGGCCTGCACCCTCTCACAGTCTGGGAGCCCTTGGGGGATGTCTGACTGCCACGGAGGCGGGAGAGGCTCCCACCACCACTGCTGCACTTGCCAGCCGTGAGCTTGGCTTCTGGCTGAGCAGCACTCCCCCTGTGGGAGCACACTTACCACCAGGGGGCAGCTCCTGCATTGAGCATCTGCCCCCTGGCGGTCAGTGTGCGTCATAGTGACTGGTTGTTCTGCAGTTCAGTCAATTTGCATATTAGCCTTTTATTATATAGGATACCACATTCTGTTTATCCATTCATCAGTTGATGGATATTTGGGTTATTCTCACTTTTTGAATTCCACTTCTATTAACACATTTCGTGCCGCTCAGGAGTTTTCTCGTGTTTCGTGCGCCATCTGTTAAGGACTGCTCACGAGTGTTCTCGTTTTTCACGCCCATGGAAAAAGGAGCGAATCTAGATACTTATGTAAATTTTGTTTGGTCCCTCTTCATAGAGGAAAATGTTTTGCACAGTACCATACATTAAAAAAGTACTAGGAACTTTAATTGTTTAATTGTTTTGCATTATGATGATTTAATAATGTGCAGTTTGCCCAAAAACATGCGGTCCCTGGCGTATGTCTTAGAGATTTCTATGCAGTACACAATGTGTTAAGAATGCTGTTATGGGCATTCATAACAAGTTTTGTGTGAATATATGTTTTCCATTCCCCTGGGAGTGTGTGTGTGTGTATGTATGTGTGTGCAGAATTGCCTGTTCACATGGTAACTTTGTTTAACATTTTTAGGAACTACTAAACAGTGCCAGAGTGGCTTCACAATTCTTCATTCCCACCAGCAATGTATAAGGATTCCAATGACTCTACATTGTCACCAACTCTTATTTATCTTTTTTATTATAACCATCCTGCCGATGTGAGGTGGTATATCATTGTGATTTTGATGAGAATGACTATCAAATGACTAATGACATGGAGTATCTTTTCATGTGCTTATTGGCCATTTGTATATCTTCCTTGGAGAAATGTCTTTTCAAGTCCTGTTTTTAATTTAATTGTTTGTCTTTTTGTTGTTGAGTTATAAGTGCTCTTTATATGTTCTGGATATTATACCCTTGTCAGATACGTGATTTGCAAATATTTTCTCCCATTCTGAATTGTCTTTTCACTTTCTCAATAGTATCCTGTAATATACACAAAATTAATTTTTTAAAATATATTTTATTGATTTTCTACAGAGAGGAAGGGAGAGGGATAGAGAGTTAGAAACATCGATAAGAGAGAAACATCGATCAGCTGCCTCCCACACACTCCCCACAGGGGATGTGCCTGCAACCAAGGTACACGCCCTTGACCGGAACCAAACCTGGGACCCTTGAGTCTGCAGGCCAATGCTCTATCCACTGAGCCAAACCCGTTAGGGCTACACAAAATTAATTTTGATGAAGTTCAAAACGTATCTATTTTTATATTTATATATTTTTATCTATTTACCTATATTTTCTTTAATTGTTTGTGCTTAGGTATCATAGCTAAGTAACCATTACCTGATCCAGGTTATGAAGATTTATTACACTTGAGTTTTCTTCTGAGTTATATAACATTAGCTCTTATATTTAGGTGTTTGATGTATTTTTAGTTAATTTTTGTATATGGTGTAAGGTATTGGTACAAATTAATTCATTTGCATGTGAATTTCTAGTTGCCCAAACACCATTTGTTGGAAAGAGTATTCTTTCCTCATTGACTACTCTTCTAATGCCTATTGAAAATCAATTGAGCATTGATGTATGATTTATTTCTGGCCTCCCAATTCAATTCCATCAATACATATGCCTATCCTGACGCCAGTACCACACTGTTTTGATGACTGTAGCTATGGTAAGCTTTGAAATTGGGAAGTGTGTATCTTCCAACTTAGTTCTTTTTCAATATTTTTCTGGCTATTCAGGGTCCCTTGAAATTCCAGATGAATTATAGAATCAGTTTTTCTATGTCTGCATAAAAAGCAGTGGGATTTTCTTAGGGGTTACACTGAATTTGTATAACAATTTGGGAAAAATTACTGTTAACAATATTAACAAGTCTTAACTGGCCTCTGACATTCTGTCTCACCTTGCCCTGTTTCTCCATCACATCACTTATCCCTGGTGTTCTCGCCTGTTTTCTGTCTTCCTCCACTACAATGTGAGCTCCATGAAATAGGGCCTTGTATTTCTTGCTCAGTGCTTCATCCCTAGCATGGGGTCTGGCAGGCACGTAGTAGGTGCTCAGTATATGTTGCTTGAATAGACAAGTGAATGATGAGCAAAGGAATGCATGGGTGAATGAATGAACAAATGAACAAGCTTCCATATCATGACTCTTGTCAGCATTGACCACCTCTGATCAGGTGATGCAGTTGCCCCGCAGCTGGCTTAAATTATTAGATGAATATGTTGAGTCTGAAAAGAAAATTAAATAATATTTTAAAAAGAGGAAGGCTTTTAAATGATTTTAAAGATAGTTTAGATTTGTGGTTCTTAATTCTGGCTACATCATCCAGAAGAGATCTTTTTTAAAATATTGGTACTCAGGTCACACACACACACACACACACACACACACACACACACATACACTGATTTCATTGGTTTGGAAAGAGGCCTGGACATTGGGATTTTTTAGAAGTTGCCATGGGTTCTAGTGTGCAGCCAGGGTTGAAGCTCTCTGGACTAGACCTCCACCAATCTCAAGGAAGGGCCTAGGACTGCAGTTAGGATACCAAAGTTAGAAACAGATTCAGGACAATACTTGTAAGGCTAAAGTATAAGAGAAGAAAAGCCTGAATCCAGGAGACCTGAAGTCCACATGGTGTCTTCCCAACCCTCACCCCCTCCCCAGCTGGAGAACATGATGGTGACAAATGACATGCAAACTCAGAGAGAGGGCCACCTGGCAAGATTCACCTGTGCAGACCCCACAGAGCTTAATGAGCCCCCAGTGTCATGTTTTTCTGAAAATCCTTAAATCATCAGTTGAATAATTGTCTCCCCAGTGGAAGACAGAGAGCAAGGAATAGGAAAAAAGGAAAAACTACAAGATCTCTATTTCTGCAGCATTGTTCACTGCAGGAGGGAGGTAGCAGGTGAGCAAGTCCAGACCAGAACTTTAGGTAAGTTAGCACACTGCCCTGCAGTTGCAGGAAGCCACCAACCACAGAAACCACAAAGGGCCAGGGAACCACAGTGTCCAGGCACCTCGGCACCCACAGTGGCTCTGAAATGGAACCACTAGCCACTTGGTGAGATGTTCATTATTTTCTGCCATTGGAGTTTCTCCATAAAGTGGATTCAACTCTAAATACTGAGTCATTTTGACCTTGACATAGGACAGAATACTTAACATGACCCAAAGATGCTCAATTCAGCTTAGAGGACACTGAGAGAACTTGTGGGCCCCTCCTAAGAGCTCAGGAGACAGCAGTCATCTGGGGGCTGCCCAGTTCTCAGTGCCCAGCCCGCGCTCCCCCGTCCTCCAGACTGGAACCCTCACCCCAGGTCTGCACCACTTGGGTACAGGTACCCAACGGTTGGCAAACACATACTGTAATAACAAGAGTGCCTCACGTTTCTGCAGCAGGCAGTTTACAAAGCACCTTGACATCCCCACTTTAGAGAGGAGGAGCCTAAGGCTGGAGAGGGGAACTCACAGGCCTGAGATGACCTGGCTACAATTGGACTGTCCCCAGCCAGGCCATGTGGTGCTAGATAACTGGGGATCTGTTCAGCTGGGATTGGTCTATTAGCCTATTCATACTTCCTGCTTCTTTCCACATCAGTTCTGTGTTCTACTTGGTTTTGTTTTAAAGAAACATTCTCTTCAATGATGCTTTCAAAATTATTAGCCTCCATTAAGTGTAGATGTTTAACCCTCTTTCACATCTCTGCTTATCTGGGTGCTGTTGCATAAGAGTGAAGCACTTAGCAGATATTCAAATCTGGCAAATGACATCGGAGGGCATTGTGCCCCAGTCCAGCCTCATCCTCAGTAGCCATCTGCTTAGCATCTATCCAGAGTTCCAAAGAAGCTGTGTAGTCTTGGTAACAATAATGGCCATAGCTTTTGTTAAGTGCATACTGTGTGCTAGTCACTGTTCCATGTGCCTTGCCTTGTCAATTCAATCCTCACAACAACCCCATGCAGTAGTTACCATTTATCCTCAGTCTATCGATGAGGAAACTGAGGCACAGAGGGGTTAAATAGCATGCCCACAGTCACACAGCAGGTAAAATTGGTAGCATGTAGCCCTTACTGGTCAAGCAAATGGACTCTGGAGTTAGGCTTAACTTTAAATCCCAGCTCAGCCACTGACTGTGTGAAGTTAGATAAGTGTAGTGGGTTGAGTTGTGAGCCCCCAAAAGATATACCCGCATCCTTAACCCTAGAACCTATGACTATAATCTTACATAGTAAAAGGGTCTTTGCAGATGTAATTAAAAATCTTAGGACGAAATCATCCTGGATTACTTCAGTTGGCCCTAAACTTAATGAAGAGTGTTCTTCTAAGAAGAAGAAGTAGAGAAGATACAGGCACAGAGGAGAAGGTCAAGTGAAGATGGAGGCAGAGATCAGAGTGATGCAGCCACAAGCCAAGTTGTGCCTGGAGCCACCAGAAGCTGGGTGAGGCCCAGGATTCTCTCCCAGTGCTTCAGAGGTAGCACAGCCCTAGGACACCTTGATTTCAGACCTCCGGCCTCCAGGACTATGCAAGAGTAAATGTCCACTGTTGTGAGCCACCCGGTTTGAGGAAAGTTGTTACAGCAACCCTAGGAAATTCATATAGTAGGTGACTTTGCTTCTGAGGACCACAGTTTCTTCATCCACAATATGGATCTAGATATTATAATACCCACCTTATAGGTCTTTGGGGAGAATGAGAAAGGATAGTGCCTTAAAGGACTTACCTGTGCCCAGGGTGTCAATGAATGCTAGCTGTTACATGAAGCATCATTTGTTATCTGGCCCTTGGCCACCCTGCCTCTGAGTCTTCTCAGAGCTAGTCCCTCATCTTGCTATTTTCCTGTATCTGGCTCCTTGTCACTGGGCCCCCTGAGGCCAGACCAGCATGGTCCTGGCTCAGGAATCTCAAAGGAATTGAATCCGACTCCCAGACACAAGCTGCAGACCCCACTCTGAGCCATTATTGCCAGAGCTGCCAGAGCGAGACTATGAACATCCCACATGGTGTTTTCATATTTCACCCAAGAAGTCATTTACATGAGTCAGACACAGAAGGCTCAGAGAATTCAATCGAGAAAGGTAACTCCGGGCTGTAGTGAGTTCTGCCAATGGGTACGGAGGATTTTCCTATGTCTGCTCATCTCTTTCTTCCTTATCTGCGTCTTACAGCAGACAGGAAGCTGGCTGACGAGAGATGGCATGTTCATACCAATTATTAAAAAGATATGGCAGGCTTCTGGAAATGCATTCCCATGCCAAGGAAATGCAGTGTGTTCACCAACCAGGCTCCTGCACTGTGAGCTTTGGAAGAATGATGGGGTAGCCATAAACACTACAATCTAAGATTTTCATCCATATCTGCCACCTCCTAGCTGTGTGACCTTGGGTGAGTGACTCACCCTCTCTGAGCCCCAGTGCCCATAAGGAAATACCTATTCCTCCCTCACAGGCTTACCATGAGCATAAACTGGGACAACATGTTCAAGTGCCTAATGCTAAGCCTGACCCACAGGACTTTAATCGTTGTGCCTTCTGTTCCCACTCCCTGACTCAGAACTTCCTGACTCCATAAGGAAATTTTAAAAACTACCTTGCCAGCCTCCCAGAGAGGTCTTAAAGAGCAGTGATGCATGTGGGGTAGGTACACCTTCTTATGCACATTCACCTACTCCACTTCTTTAATCCTCACAATCACTTCAGCAGAGAGAGCTTTGTTCCCATTTTGCAGGTGAACACATGTTGGTACAGAGTCAGTGATGGGTTCTAGAACACCCAGGTAGCATGAGCCCCGGGGGTGGGGGGGTATGGTGACCTGTTGGTGAGACAGGCAGAGGCCTAAGGCCCAGGGCTCAGGGCATGTTGATGAGGGAGGCACTGTAGCCCCATAACTATGCAGCTTCCACCTGAGGGCCTAGGAGGACCTTGGCGTGCCAGGAACAGAGCTGGAAGATGGCCAAGGAGGAGGAGGAAGAGAAGGGGCCTCCAAGGAGGGTCACTGTTGCTCTCTTAATAATCACTTGTCTGTGTAACTAGTGTTGACTCAGAATTTCAGAACTTGAAATGAATTAAGAAATCACCCAAACAGACCCCTCATTTCTCTCATGGGGAAACTGAGGCACAGACTCACCCAAAATCCCAGAGCCCAAGACTGTCGATGAGCTACCATCTTTCACCTTCCTCAGATGCCTGCTCCAACTTCCTGCTCTTCTCGAAACACCCCAGGAATCAGACACAGGAGAAACAACATGATGGGATTCGAGTTTGGTCTGCCTTTCTTAATGAAGACTTTGAAACATTTTCTGAACTTTTATGTTATCAGGGAGCTTTTCCTTGGGTGGATTGCCATGGGTGGATAATAGTGGTAACAGCTGACCCTGTTGGAGCCATTCACTCGGGCCACACACTGGCCTAGGGGCTTTACACAAATCTGTCCATTCAGTCCTCAAAATTATGAAGAGGTACTATGTTTAGACCCATTCTACAGATGACAACAATGAGGTTAAATAGTTGCTGCAGGTCCCAAGTGGCAGAGTTGGAACTAGAGCTCAGGCAGTCTGGCCCCAAGATTGGCACCCTTCACCACCTTGCCTTTGACCATACCACCTGGCACAGGTCTCCCATCCTAGTCTAAGCACCTCCCACATTCTCAGTGACTGGATGGCTGACTGATTGCTTGAGCTGATTATTTTGCCAGGCAGAAGGTCGACAGCAAATTCTAGGCCCCAGCCTCACTGGTATTTTTGCAGTTAGTCAAGGCCTATTTATTACTCAGAGAATATTTTGGGGTCTGTGATGAAAAAAAAATGCAAAACTTCATTTCACTTCCCTGCTACACTGCTCTTTTTTTTTTTTTTTTAATAGCCCTCTCTTATCAGCCTCCTGGCAGCTTTTGCGTTTCCTGTGCATGTTAATTACTTTATTAATTACGTTGATATCTTTGGTTCTGCCCAGCATATCTTGGTGCTTTTTGTTTCCAATGTGCACCCATTCTGCCTTGTTCGTTGGCATATGCATGCCCAGTTTCCGTTTCTAAAAGGGATTCTTTGAGCCTCGGTAAACACATGGCTTTCAATTAGTCATGCAATCATCATTCCCGTTTTCATCTCAGCCACGTCACTAATAGAGTGTTTTTAACATTCTCCCAAATAGAGGCGCATTGTGTGAAGTTTCTGACATTGTTCCTCAATCCTGTTTTCTCTCCAGGTTACAGCTCAGAGAACCTCACAACCTAGGACTGAGTGACATGATGAATGGGAAGATGTCCGGGGTGGGGAAGGGAGTTGAACCCTGGGGTAGACAGAGAGCTAGGGCTTTGTGAGATTAGATTGGAGGGTGACCTAAGACCAATCCTGGGAGGACTTGAATGTTACGCTGAGAATTTCAGACTTTAACCTAAAAGCCAACATCCTCCCCAAGCTTATGGCATAGAATATTAATCCTATTAGCTATCCCAAAATAAAAGGGAAGGGGGGGATTCCATGATCCAAAAGTTTAAGAAATCCCAGAAACTACACATCTGCCTCTTAGGCTTTAGCAAGTTAAAGGCTCTGAAAAGTCCTGTAGTTTAATGTCTTAATTAAAATTTTTAATTAGCATTTCCAAAATTTCTTTGACCATGGAGCCCTTTCTCGGGGTGCATGTTTACATTGACATATTCTGACCGTAATTTAGGAAGTGCTGCTGGAGGGGCGAGGAGCCTTGGTGGATTTTGAGCAGGAGGGAGCATGCTTAGAGTCTGACTGTGTTGAAAGGTGGCTCTGGCAGGCGATCCAAGTCGGGGAGACCGGAGGCAGGAGGAGAAATGAGGCAGGCCCTGAAGAGTTCAGACAAAATGAAATAAGGATCTAAACCAAAGTTTCAAATGTTTCAATGTTTTCTTTCCATTTCATTTCAAGCTGCATTGTTGTCTTAAAATTGGAAAATCAGTGTTGCTATAATAAATCAGAGCACAAGGATTTTACTCAGGCATAAAATCTGAATGAGAAAAGCAATCTGTGCGATCTTTCATCTTCAAAGGAAGCATTTAGCCCAACAGGGTGTTGGAACACAATAGCCATCTGTTTCTGCAAATCACCAGAGTTCATAGAGGCTTTCCAATCAGATAGACCCAGAGTCGGGTCCGAGGTCCATATCTTAGTGGCTCGGCACAAGCGGCTTCACTTCTCTGTGTCTTCGTTTTCCCATGCAGTAAAGAAAAACATTAATCCTTTTCTCATAGCTTCAAGGATTGCATGAGGTGACATGTGCAAAGTCCTTAGCACAATGCCTGACATGTGATAACATACAAACAAATGTAATTGCCCTTCTATATCCTTCTATATTAGTCAGGATAGGCTGGGCTAAACTGCCTTAATAAAGAACCCCTAAATCTCAGCGACAAAATGCATCAAAGGCCTATTTCTCTCTCATACAAAGTCCGCTTATAAATCCAGGCGACCTCCAGGGGATCCCTCCTCCATGAGGCAGCTCAGTGATCTGGGCCCAAACATGAGGCCGCACACAGATCTCTTGACAGCTCTTCTAAGCTTCAGCCCACAGGGTCAAATGTCACTTCCTTCCATAGCCCATTGGCCAGAATTAGTCATGTGACTCCTAACTGTAAAGAAGCTGAGACTGTGGGTGAACAGAGGGGATGTCAGGGGAGCACCAGCCTCTGCCACTCCTTCATTCCCTTTGGTCAGTCCACCAAACCTCTCTGAGCCTCAGTTTCCTCATCTGTAAAATAGGCTGATACTTCTGTCCTACCTTGCATGGGATTGTTGTGGGGGCATATGTGATTATGTATGTGGAAAATGCTAAGTTAACGTTAGAGATGTTTATATGCTTACTTTTAGCTGTGCCAAAGCTGTATCACATCTTTGGTTCATAGGAAAAACATACAACTTAAATTCTTCGTAAATCTACATTCCTGTTCCTTTTTTTTAAAGATTTTTAAATAGATTTTTAGAGAGAGAGAGAGTAAAGGAAATGGAGAGAGAGAAAGAAACATCACATGAGAGTGAAACATAGATCAGCTGCCTCCTGCATGCCCACTACCAGGGATGGAGCCCGCAACCAAGCATGTGCCCTGACCGGGAATCAAACCAACAACCTTTAGGTGCGCAGGTGATGCCCAACCAACTGAGTCACCCAGCCGGGGCCCTACATTCCTGTTCTTATTCCCCAACCCTGTCTTGGCCCTGGATTGCCCACTCCTCCTGCCCTGCTAATTTGAATCTTTTTAATTTTTATTTATTTTTATTTATTTATTTATTTATTTTGGTGAGATTATTATGACCACGCACCAGTAGCCTTTAGTAGCCTGTTTTTGTTTTGGTTTGGTTTGGTTTCTTTAAAAATCTTTATTGTTGAAAGTATTTTTTTCCTCCCATTGACCCCTTATAACCTATCCCTACCCCCTGCTCCAGGCCTCCACCACCCCATTGTCTGTGTCCATGGTTATGTATAAATGCATACAAGTTCTTTGGTTGATCTCTTCCCACCCACACCGACCCACCCATGCCCACCTTCTGAGATTCGACAGTCTGGTCCCTGCTTCTGTGTCTCTAGATCTATTTTGTTCAACAGTTTATTCTGTTCATTAGATTCCACATATGAGTGAGATCATGTGATACTTATCTCTCTGGCTGGCTTATTTCGCTTAGCATGATGCTCTCCAGGGTGGCGTATTTGGGGATTGCCCACTTGGTGACACATCCTGCTTGGAAAAGGAGACCCTGGAGTGTCCTGAGGGATGACAGGGCCACCAGGGCATTTCTCCTGGGCAGCAGAGAGAACTCTTGGGTTCTGCCTCACAGGATATATGGTTCTTAGATCCCTAAGGAACAGCCGGTGTGTGTGTGTGTGTGTGTGTGTGTGTGTGTGTGTGTGTGTGTGTGTGTGTGTTCCAAGCACCAGTATTCCGGGTGCATAGGGCTCTAGGCACGGGAGGGGACACCACTCTTGTCCTATTCAGATCCCCTTGGAGATCTCCCAGGGGGAGAAAGTGTGGCAAGGATGGAAAAAGAATAAGAAACTGTTCCATGTAGGAAAGAATGATGTCAACCCGCAAAGAAAAGACTCAAAAGGGCACAATCCCTGTCTCTAAGCTTCAGAGGGGCTGTCCTGGGGCCAAGGGAGGAGCAGGGCCTACAAGGCAGAGCTGGAACCTGGGGGAAGTTCTGGTGGTACAGATTTCAGCTTAGGATGAGGAAGAACATATCCCAAAATGAACTGGGCTTCCTTAGGAGGTAGTGAGTCTCATCACCAGAGCTGTGCAAAGAAAGGTTGGACGAGCTCTTAGCAGGGACTGCACACTGAGGAAGGGAAGGGAAAAACACTTGAGTGTCTTCAAGCCCAAAACTTCTGTAATTTCACAAAATAGGATAATTGAATGGTATGACCTCAAAAGACATTATATATATATATATTTATATGTATATATTCGTTCTTAATGGATGTGTGTGAGATGAGTTGAGAACAGCTTTGAAGTTATAATGAATTGGAGCATTACGTTCACCCTGAGGACTTCATCATGGGTGCAGAAGAGAAAGCATGGGCAGGGGACAAGGAAACTGGCCCAGACACACAAGCCCTGCTACAGAGTGAAGGGGCACGCACACGCTCCCGGGGCCTGTGGCTGCCCGGGGACCCGCGCGCACAGCCAGCGGAGGCACAGCACCAATTACAACATCCTATTTGGGAACAGTCTTTGCAACACTGCACTTTTGGGGCTCCCAACCCATGTGCCTCCCTGAATGACAACAGGCAAATGAAACGGATGCCTTGTTCTTGTGTGCATTACCGTGGGCGTGTGTGTGTCTGGGCAGTGCAGTCTTTTGTCTTCCGGGCTCTTGCTTGATGCTCAGAACAACCCTCAAAGCAGGTGACTCCAGCATTTCTCAGAGGAGAACCTGGGGCTCAGAGTGAGCATGTGATGGACCTGGGTCCCAGCCCTGGTCCAGAGGCAAAGCCAGCGGCTATCCATTACCCAGGGCACTGCGGTGTTACCCTGCTGCCTTTTAGCCAAGGGCAAACTAAAATCTGAGCTGCAGCAGGAATCACAAGAGGGAACACTTAAGGCTTGTCCAGGCAGCCAGCTGCCTTTCTCCTTGCTGAGCTGAGACTCCCAGAATTAGTCAGAGTTCCAGGGAGGAGCTCGAACAACGGAAAAGGCCCTGGACTAGGAGTCAGGACACCCAGCTCAAGTGCCAGGTCCTCGGATTTCTTGCTGTGTGACCTTGGGTGAGTTACAGCCTATTCCTGGGCTCAGTGTCCTCTACGCAAAATGGGAATGAGACTGATGGCCCTCCTAAATGCCTAGGGTTGTCAGGCAGATCTAATGACATTGAAAACCATTAGATTGAGCACATGTGCACAGCAGTGGTGGCCTACAGTAGCTCGTCCAGGACCCCACGTGCTCCAGCTTCCTGACTTAGAATATCTTCACACCCTTGTCCTGTCACCTCCCATCTCACACCAAGCAGGGAGTCGCGTGAACTCCAGCCTGGCCATGCACTGCGTTAGCAGCGGACCCTGTGAGAGGAAGAGAGACGCGCCATGGGCATAGTCAGACCAGGCTGAGAATGGCCAGCTCAACTGCCAGGGGGTCTGGGCAGTTCTGGATTTGTGTATAAAGCCAGGGTTTGGGGAGTTAGGCAGACCTGGGTTCAAGTCCCAGGTCTGTATTAGAGCCCACTGCTGTGGCGATTATTTGGATGAAATGGGACAGTGTGTATGTGTGTATGACATCCTTAGCCCAGAATCTGGCACACAAGGAGCAGTCAATGACGGGGGGAGAGGAGGACAATTGGTGGAGAGGATGGTGAGGGTGCTGAGAGAGGAGGGGCAAAAAGTCAAACACAGAGGCAGTGGCCCTCCCCTAAGAGACAGGCAGGAAGCACTGGGGCCTCAGAGAGGCGGGATGAGAGGATCTGGGGGGATTTCACAGATGAAGGAATGGGTGCGGTGCACACAGTGGTGTAAGAAAGGGCCTCTCAGGACCAGGACACAGCACAGTAAAGGACCAGGAGGGGAGGGTATGGGGCCCGGCCACAGATGAGGCTAGTGATGGGAGTCGAAGGTAGAGAGTTTTATGTGGGGTCCAGTCACAGAGGGACCAAATGACTATTCCCTCGTTAAGCTCTTGTTATTGTTTATTCTCAGAGTTTAATTAAATCTCGGAATCTGACACGATAGTATCAGCATCTTTGAGATGCAAGTTTCCCTTCTCTTCATCTCCTGTGTCTCTCTCTGCTCTGCTTTCCTTGTTCTGTTTATCCCCCGGCCGCCTGGGTCAGTGCCCCTAAAGCAGTGATGGCGAACCTATGACACGTGTGTCAGAGGTGACACGCGAACTCATTTTTTTTGGTTGATTTTTCTTTGTTAAATGGCATTTAAATATATAAAATAAATATCAAAAATATAAGTCTTTGTTTTACTATGGTTGCAAATATCAAAAAATTTCTATATGTGACACCGCACCAGAGTTAAGTTAGGATTTTTCAAAATGCTGACACGCCGAGCTCATAGGTTCGCCATCACTGCCCTAGAGCCTCCCCAGAAGCCCTGCATGGGACCCTCCCGCCACTGCCTGCTGCCCAGACTGCAAGCTGTGTGGGGTCAGGCCGGTCCAGGGCTGCAGGAAGAAAGCATGATTCTGCTCTCAGGGTGGAGGTGGTGTAGCCACAGTCGTTCCCACGTGCACCCTGGGAAGCCGGCCTGCGGATTTCTGCCCGGCCGGGTTGGGGCATGCAGGGTCCAGGCATCCTGGTCCTGCTGAGGGTGGGGGAAACCAGACTCCAGGAGCCGAGCCTGGGAGAAACGGGCTTCCATCTGGTGCCACCACCCCGGAATCACCAAATGTTGGCACCGAGGGCCCTCAGAGGGGAAAGAGCTTGCTTGCCCGAGATTGGCCACCAAACCTTTCCACTCAATAATGCTGCTTCTACAAAATCAGGTGACCGTGTGAAAAGTTAACCCATATTTCTGCGCACCCCAGTATCATCTGGGACCTCTTGGTTCTTGAGATCCGGGAAGAATTGCCTCACACCCCCAAGGTAGGGAGGCCCTGAGCCTACTAAAGATTTTGGCCTTTCTGCAGCCTTTCCTTAGGCGCAGTCCAGTTCCTGGTTCACAGACATTGTCTTTGTTCCTCCCCACATCACCAGGGCAAGTCTCAAGCCATCGCCAGGTTCACCAGCATCCCCTCTTGCTCGTCAAGCATTTCCTGAGTTTTAAATATGTTTTTGTTGATTTCAGAAAAGAAGGGAGAGGAAGAGAGAGATAGAAACATCAATGATGACAGAGAATCATTGATTGGCTGCCTCCTACACCCCCCCTACTGAGGATCGAGCCTGTAACCCAGGCATGTGCCCTGACCAGGAATCAAACCCTGATCTCCCGGTTCATAGGTCAATGCTCAACCACTGAGCCACACCGGCTGGGCCATTTCCTGAATTTTAATAGAACTTCAGAAGGTGCAGAAATCTGAGGGGAAGGACCATGTGGCCCAACCAGCTTCCCTCCTTCTCCTGCCTCTCTTCTTTCTCACCTCTCTCTCCTCCCACCCCCCTCTCCTGGTTCCCGCGGAGGTTTGGGCCTCCTCGGAATGCTAGGTGCACAGGGCACTGCCCTTCCAGAGCCGGCACTTTCCTCCAAAGCCATGGCTCTCCCTGGGGGAGCTCTCCTCCAGCCGCATCTCCTCCAGCATGAGAGCACAACGGGCGCCTTCCTCACGCACATCAGCTGTTCTCAGTCACCACTAGTCTCTCCTCACTTCTTTGCCAACTTAACAAGAAAAGCTGTCACACTTACTTCAAAGTGTCCTTAAAATTACAAGGTCTTCCAGGCACTCACTTGACTCTGGAACAAGGCCTGGAGACCCGCTGGACTGGCAGCCCAGTCGTGGGGCATTGGCAGACACGCCAGGCTCACGAGCAGGCCCTGTGCTGCCCAGTGTCTCGTTTCCGAAAGGAGCCAGAAATCTGGGTGTTCCAGTGAAACCACCTGAGTTTTAGGTACTGACCTACATGCCCAGGCAGCAGGGATGCCATCACCACATTCACAGTGTGTCTCGTGGAAGCCCCCCATGACCCAGCCCCTCTTGGCTGTGGATTCAGCAGCCATACCTGTGAGCTCTTCCTGCTCAGGGCTTGCCCAAGGGCCCCAGAGACAGGCCCAAGGAGAACAGGGGCATCCCTGAAGGCCCACCTCCACAGGGATGGGCACAGAGCCCAGCCACAGGGAAGGGAATGACAAAAGTTGAGATGCACCTCCCACCTACTTTGCTTGGCTTAGGTTTAGCTTGGCTTTGCTTCTGACTGTGTCACCTTAAGCCTATTTCCTCACCTATAATGGGTGTAAAATTCCTGGCTCCTTCACCCTGAAGGTCTGCCCTGAGGTCAAAATCAAAGAGAAATCCCAGTCACAGTGGTTCTCAACCTTCCTAATGCCATGACCCATTAATACAGTTCCTCATGTTGTGGTGACCCCCAACCATATAATTATTTTCGTTGCTACTTCATAACTGTAATTTTGCTACTGTTATGAATCGTAATGTAAATATCTGATATGCAGGATGTATTTTCGAATGACCCCTGTGAAAGGGTCATTCGACCCCCAAAGGGGTCGCGACCCACAGGTTGAGAACCGCTGCAGTAGAAGGCTTTATGAGCTGCAAAGGGCTAGGAATGTTAGGACCTATCACTGCACTTGTCAGCCCTTAACTTTCCCACGAGGATCCCCACCCCAGCTCTGACCCTTATACAACCACAGAAATTCATACTAGATTCCAAGGTCAAATTAAGAGTGCTTCTCTGATCAGGACCAAGCAGGGATCTGCTGGCCCACTGGTGTCCTAATGCTGAACTCAGGTTCCCTCTGCTTCTCAGCCAGTGCCCGGCCACCTCTCCCACCCCACAGACATCGAGTGAGTGGCTTTGGACCCCATGCCTGCTGCTCTGGACGCTGCCCCAAGTGCACCTGAGCAAGGTGCACAGCACCGGCAGACTGGATGAGTCCAAAGTCAGAGGGTGGCCCTCATCCAGCTCCAGAGGGCTGGCGAGGCAGTGCTCAGAGCCCAAAAATGTAAGTCCGGATAAATGCTGGCTGCTGGGCAGTCCACAAGGCTGGCCCCTCCTGTGCCAACCCACAGCATGGCCCAGGGCACAGGGCATGGAACGGGTCAGGACACCTGCATCCGGGTCTCCATTCAGTCACCCTCTTGCTAGAGTCCTTCCCTGGGCCTGTTTATCCACCTGTAAAAAGAGGAATTGGACTGGTGCATAATCCTCTATGTTTGGAAATGGGGAGTCAGGAGAGGGAGATGTGGACTGTCACAGTGACCAGAAGACATTCCTGGCCATTAGTGCCCTGCACTGAATAGGCAAGTTCCTCACAACAGAGAACCGTGTCCCCTCCAAAGAAGACAATGCAGGAAGTGCCCCGTTGAGAAACCCTGGTAGGTGATCTCACAGGTCCCTTCCCGGCCTGGGATTCTGAAAACATTCACTCTAACTCGTAATCAAACATTCTAAAAAAAATTCTTACCTTGAAACGACAGCTTCTAGCTTTGCTGCCTCAGAGATGTGGGGCTGCTGCTGTTGAGATAAGCAGCCCAGCCCAGAGGGATCTGGAAGGTTCCTCCCGGCTCCAGCACGCTGTGACTCTGCAGTGGGAGATAATGATGACGGGTTACACACACGGAGCGGGCTTGCCACTCTCTGAAGCCTGCTATTCACCCCAGTTACCTCCTTTGATTGTCTTGCCGATGCTGGGAGGTTGCAGACGAGGAAACAGACTTAGAGATGTGTTCAATGTCATACAGCTGGACTTGGGGTCTGAACCAAGTGCCCTTTCCCCTCCCTGCCCAGGCTTCCTTGATGAGACCCCCACCCCCGTTGTCCCCAAAAGAGGCTGTGACTCAACTGCTTTCCCAGGAAAAGAGAGCATCTCTAGACTCTGCAATGCAGCCCAAAGGTTAGACATCCTCTCTCCCCAACCATCACATTTCTATACACACACTCACCTTCCAATTTTACCACCTATTTCAAAAATCAAATTTGAAATTTAAAAGAAAAGCTGGATGGCTCAGGGAACAAGTTCTGAGAGAAGCTTCTGGGAACTGGTCAGAGGTGGAAGGCACCTGCTCCTTCAAAGAAGCACTGGCCAGCCCCAGCCGGTTTGGTTCAGTGGATAGAGCATCTGCCCTCGGACTGAAGGCTTGCAGGCTCGATTCCATTCAAGGGCACCCACCTCATTTGCAGGCTCACTCCCTGGCCCAGGTCCAGATGTGTGTGGGAGGCAGCCAATCAGTGTGTCTCTCTCATATCAGTGTTTCTCTCCCTGCCCCTGCTTCCACTCTTTCTGAGAATCAATGGGGAAAATGTCCTCAAGTGAGGATTTTTTTTAAAAAAGGACTGGTCAGGTGGGGGCTTGAGTATTTGAGCCACCCACATAGTGGGAGTATGAAAGATCAAGAGCCCCCTGGTCACAGGAAGGCCCATGGCACCCTTCATGTCCTCCACCCAGACTCCCCCCTGCTCAGACCCACACAGGACACACAGAAGTACTGTATTGCAGGGTCTGGCCAGGGTCAGGACATATAGATACTCTGTGTCAGAAGTGTGTGAGTGACAAAGGAATCTTCACTCTTAACTGAAGATCTGCTGAGGACCAAATGTCAGCCTGGTTTAAGATCCTCTAACCTGAGGCCTGGCCCAGCACAACAGTGTCCCCCTGAGAGCATGTTGCGACTGCTGCATCCAGACCTGCTGGCCCGCCTGCCGGTTAACAAGCTCCCCAGGTATTTGTGTGCTGGCCCCTCACTTACTACACTCCAGCCACACCGGCCACCTTTTGGTTCCTAAAATATGCCAAGGACTTTGCCATTTAGATCCTCCTCACTTGCTGTTCCCTCTCCGAGGAATGGTCTCCCCCTAGATTCTCACATAACTGGTCTTCTCATCATTCAGGGCACAGACTAAATGTCACCACTGCAGAGGAGCCTTCTAGACTATCTGATATGCAGTAGGTGCCCCTGCTAGTACCCCTCAAAGAAACTTGTACCTCTCTGTAGGAACACATTTCACCATTGTACTCAGCTGTACTGTGTGGTTCATCAGCCTTCTGTGTCCTCCACTAGGCTGCACTCTCTGGGAAGGCAAGCATCCTGTCCATCTCGTATACCTGGGCCCCAGCATGGAGCACAGTGCAGGCACACAGTAGGCTCATGAGAAACATTGATTGAGTTAGTACAGTCATCCCTCCATTATTCAGGCTCACATTAGCTATACTGTAAATTAACCCATGGGTTCATGCTGCAAATGAGTAACCAGGATCTAAAAGAAAGTGGAGACTTCCCAAGGTCACCCAGCAAGTCTATAGCAGGACCAGGGCCTCTGACCTTTCAGGACCCAATGCCTCAACCCGTGCCCAGACACTCTCCCGGTCGTTCATGTATGCAGCCTGACAAAGCAGGATGTTTGCAGGGGCCACTGACCTACATTGTGAATAATTGCATCATGCAGAGGGACTCTCAGGCCAGCTGCCCTCCTTTCAGTGCACAGATGGGGAGACGTTTCCCCAGCAGCTTCTGCAAGCCTCCCGCTGAGCAGCGGCTGGACCAGGAGTCAGGTGTGAGCCCTTGGAGCCCCGGCCATCACAGACAGCCTTGGCCTCTCTGCTGGGCACTGCCTGTCAGGCAGGAAGAGCATTTTATCGGCTTGAATTCAGCTTGCAGCACCAAAGCACAGCCCTGACAGAGCTCCAGGGCCTTCAGGGGAGGCCTCTGTTGAACGTGTAGTAATTAAGTCATTCCTCTCACTAGCCACACCTCACTGGTTATGGAGCAGGTCTGTACCCACTGGCACCTTGGAAGTTGACAGGGTGCTTTGAAAGAGGCGGGGAAGGTTGGGAAGAGCATATGGTGAGGGAAGAAAGACAGACCTGGGTTTGAATTTCCGCTCTGACACTTTCTAGCTGGAGATTTGGGGCAAGTTACTTAACCTCTCTGTGCCTCAGTTTCCTCATCCGTAAAATGAGTAGCACTTCTTTTTGAATTCTTATGAGGCTTTGACAAGATAACTGGTGTAGGGGACGCAGCTTAGCAACTAGATGTCGTTGTCACTCATGACAAGCAGCTCTCGGTGCCCTTAGGGCAGCTGTTATTGGTGAAGTCCACCCACTCTCCTCTGAGGCTGCTCTCATGGAATCATCCTGATCTCACTAGAATGGAAGACCTGTGAGGACAGGGGTCTTGTCAATCCTGCTGCATGCTGCATTCCCCATGTCCAGAATGGTACCTGGCAAGTGGCAATGTTCGATAGTTATGGAATGAATGAATGAATGAATGAATGAATGAATGAATGAATGAACGAACGAACGAACGCTTAGGTAATTACCCAGGTGAGCAGCAAGGAAGGAAGGAAAATAAAGAACAAAGCAAGTTAAAGTGCTTGTAGGCCAGTGTCCAGAGCAAGGGAAACATTCCTAGGCCAGTGGAGGCGTGTCCACAGCTGTACAGGGCAGTGGGCCTGAGTACCAGCTTGGCATCTGTAGGGGTCAGTGCCCTGGGCTGCATGGATGGCCCATAGTAGGAGCAGGGTGAGTGGAGAGGGCAGGTACAGCCTGGGCTCTCCAGCTCAGTGGCACCCCCACCCCCACTGCCCTGGAAGGGAGATGGGGGTCCTCCAGGGTGCCTGGAAAGCTAACCTTGTTTAAGGCCAGTGGGTGCCTTCTAGAGTAGTACAGGATGCTGCTGAGGGCTTTGTCACCTACAGCCCCACCAAGCCACAGAAGTAGCTCTGTGTCCCCAGCCCAGGATCATCCACAGCTGCTGGGTGGGTCTCTCCGCACAGTTCTTTGGTGTCCTCTAGTGGCGCTTTGGTGCACGGCAATGACTCCAAGTAAGTGCTCAGGAGATGGCCGTGCTGCACATCTCTCCCTCCTGTGACTGCTCAGACCACTCTAAACTTGTCTCAGGTCAGGCACATAAGACAAGAAGAGGTGTGGCTCTTCCAGTTTGCTTTGAGATTCAATGCAAGGGTCTTTTTTTATCCAGAGTCCCCATCTCCCAGCCTGAACCTGAACTTCATCACTCCTGAAACCACCCCCTCCCCCTGCCATTCTGATGCGTGATCAGTGTGCACAGACCTGTGTGAGGGGGATGTTCACTACCAGGAGACTGTTGTGCTTATTTATGGATCTGCGCCTGTGGACTGGGAAGATGTGTGAAACCTCTCTGCCCACTGACTTCTCTGAAATCTCAGCAGGCCCGTGGTTTTCCAGTGCCCTTCTAGCTTATAGAGATGGGTGAGGGACTAAAAGACCAGATGTAAGAATTAGCATTCCAGGATTCAAAGAGATCAGAGCAGACCAAGATGGGGACTGGGATGGGGAGGGGTTTACTAACAAGGGAAATGTGACTATGCTGGAATGTCAGCTGCAGAAGAGGGAAGACCGAGCTAACAACAGTTGGATGAAAATTATCTGACTGGGTCTTAGTCAACCCTAAGGAACATCTGAATCACCAGTGGAAGGTTGTTACTTAAAAATGCAAGGAGGTCTGGAAAAGGGTGCAGGCGGACTTTCACCAGGTGGTTGAGCTCAACCCTAGGACTCTAGATTAACAGTAAACTCAAGCAGGCAAAAGGACCAGGTCGACATGTGGGAGGAGGTGGTGTGTACCTTCACTGTGGGTCTCCCCCTTCTAAAGGATGGTGTGCAGGCTCAAGGAGAGAGAGAGGTTGAGGTTATTCTGGGGAGCCCAGGAGGAAAGACCAATGGGTGGAGGTGCAGGAGGAGGTGGTTCTGGTTCAGTAAAAAAACTGCAACCATCTCACCAATAGTGGGAAGAGGGGTCTGTCACAGGGGCATGCAAGCCAGACAACCATCGTCAGCTTCCTGTGTATAGTTATCATTACATTGAACAAGATGTTTGCCAGAATCAGTCCTCTACACATAGAATCTAAGAGGCCATCATAAATTAGTGCCTTTCATTGCATAACAGACACGGTCACCTTTAATGGGTTTGCTATTCATGCATGGCCGCGATGGGCCTGTGCTACTGCATTCCAATGTCTGCTTGGTTGTCAGATATTAAGAGAAACTCAAGTTCTGCCACAAAGTCACTGTTGACCTTGGGACCACATTCCTTCTCAGTCTCCTTAGTTAAATAATGAAAGGACTTGAAGAAACTCCCATCACCCTTAGAATCCAGGCAGCAATGGAGGGGAAATCTCTGGCCTTGGCCACTCTGACTGTGGTTTCTGGTAGCCACCTTCCCATGGGTATCTCTCACTGGTACCCACTGCCACCACGACAGAGGCTTCATGACCCTCCCCTCCCCGCTGGCACTCCAGCCCGCATGTGCACTCAGCGACCATGGAACCACAGAAGCCAAGCTAAGGCTTCCTGTGGCTTAGGACAACACAAGGGAATCAGGCCTCAGAGAGCATGTAGCTGGATGATCTGGTTACAGGATGGCCTGTGCCCAGGGGTACCACCACTCCTGCTTCCATGTGGGAGCACCGTCTTTCCCCAATTCACAGGTGCCCAGGCCATTGCTGCCTCAAAGCTCAGGCCTGGAGAACAGAGCCAAGGGAAATAGGGGTTCCATCTTCCACCTGCCTCAGGCCCGCCTTCTACATCACCAAAGTGCCCCTTCCTCCTAGTGATTGACCCTGGGAATGCCTAACCCTTCCCCTCCGGCATATGACTTCACCCTGGGCCTCAATAGGACAACATCCTGAACATACTTCTTTGATGAGATACCGTTATTGGTATCTGTTCTAAAGACAAACAGATATGCAAAGAAATCTTCAACTTTACTTAATAAATTTCTTGGTAGTGTATGGATGTAGCAATTCTGAAACTGTTTTGTGTTTATTTGTAGGATTAAGCAAATGAGAATATTTTGATGTTATTGAAAACCAGTGTTCACACTGTAGAAGAAGAAAGATGTAAATATGGAAATAGAGGGGAGCAAGCAAGAAACCTGTGGTGTTAGAGCTTATATATACAGGGTGTCCCCCAAAAATGTATACAATTATTAAATATGTGTGTATACATTTTGGGACACCATATATATTTATAGATAGATGATAGAAAGATATAGATAAAATTATGATGGATGGTTCATAAATACATACATACGTACATATATTCACACATAGACCTAAAATTAATGATACCCCAGAAACCATGAACACATCTAATGCCCAGATATTGATTTCTAAATACCAATCTCTGCTAAAAAGAAGCAGAACACCTTGGGAAAATGGATGATTCTAAGACTGAGGGGAAAAAAGTGTGAGGAGACCTTGGAATATCTTATGCCAAGAAGTAGAAAAGTGCTCAAAAAATTATGGGGACATGTTGAAGAACACAGAAGGCAGCCAGCAGCGAAGGGGTTTCCATTAGCCAAATCTGGAAAAATTTAAGCATCAAAATTAAAAAGACATATTACTGGATAATAAGACACTGAATTAAAAAGAAACCTACAAGTCTATACTGATACACATTTTTAAAAGTGAGCCGTAAGGAAAGATGTTGTGTACAGTACAATGCCAAGTATTTCAATAGAATCATAGTGTTAGAAAATCACCATTTTCAAACCACCAAAATAATGTGACTCAGGTAAGAATCATCAATGGATGCTGAAACCACTAAGTTAATGTTTGTGGGGGAACAGGATCTCACACAGGCACAAAGTATCTCCCACAGATTATTTATTAATTATGAGAGGGAAATGGTACCTTTGAAGCAGAAAGTCTGGCAGACAGCCCCTCAACCAAATGATCACAGTTAACGTCACCAGTAATAGGACAAGATGCCATCAAGTGCCCCTGAAGTGAAGCACCGAGAAGGCCAAAACATCACTTACATAGGATTCCTGCCAAGAATGCCCAACCTAAATCTAATCATGAAAACACATTCAGACAAACCCAAATTCAGGGACTTTCTACAAAATAACTAAGCTGGAAACTTCAGAAATATCAGTGACATGAAAAACCAAAGTAGGCTCAGGAACTGTTGGAGAGTAAAGGTACGACAAGCAAATGCAATACATGGTCCCAGATTGGATCCTGCTTTGGAAAAACCACAATTGCCTAAAAGGACATTATTAGGCCAACTGGTGACATTTGAAAGTGGATGGTAAATTAGGTAATACACTGTGTCAATGTTAAATTTCCTGAATTTGGTTAAGTGTGTGTGGTTATGTAAGAGAATCTCCTTGTTCTGAGGAAACACATGCTAGATATTTAGGGGTGAGGAGTCAGGATATCTGCAACTTACTCTCAATGATTCAGGAAAAGTACATGGTGGGGCAAAAGTAGGTTTACAGTTGTGAGCATGTAAAGCACAGAGTTTATTCTTGTACTATTATTTGGTAATTATTGTATTCATTTCCATATGAACAACCGTAAACCTACTTTTGCCCCACCCTGTATATGTACAGTATATATTTTTTCTTTCCCTGAGTGTATTTTTCTCCTTTTGCTACCTCCTTCCTGATTCTCTCCCAGAGGTTTCCAGTTCTAATTACTGAGGTTGGGTAGGATCCTCTCTATCATCCCTCTTGGGCAGAGCACTCTGCTCTAGGAAACCACATAGGTCTCTGACCAGCCTCTGGATTGGCTGCCTAGAGTCAGGAGCCCACCCCTTGTCCAATCAGCTCTGGCCCCAGATGGGTAATGCAGCCACCAGAGCTCCTTTAATGGGGTGGTGGGCAAGAGGGTCTCTTTAGAAGGGCTTGGCAGTAGATCTAATTGGCCCAGCCAGTAGATCTGTATCTGCAGCTCCCCAAGTTCATTCCAGAGATACCTAAAGGACTCCTGACCTAATTTTGTGCCTCAATTTCCCCCTCTTTCAACAAATGTTATAGATGCTGGCTCTGGACCAAGTCTTGTATTAGGTTCTAGGGGCACACAAGTGACTCAGTCCCTACCCTCAGGAGCTCTGACTCATTTTGGAAGGGCATAACAAACATATATAACTTTAGTACAGGCTGAATCACAGCCAACAAACAGAAGGCAGTCAAACTCGCTGAGGCCCACCCCCATAGGAACACAGGTGGAAAAGAGGCGGATCCAAAAATCCTGATGGTGGCACTAGCTGTGGCTTATGGGAGGGAAAAGCGCAGTCAGGTAGGGACCCGGTTGTTGGAAGGGTGCCCAGTGCCATCCCTGAGTTTCTGTTTTTTCTTTGCACAGCCGGACCCAGCAGGACGAGACATCTCCATCCGCCCTCTCCTGGAGCACTGTGAGAACACCCACATGACCATCTGGCTTGGCATCGTCTATGCCTACAAGGGGCTTCTCATGGTAGGTGCAGAGCAGGAGGCGGAGTGCAGGGAGATGCTTCCCTGTCACACTCTGTCTCCTAAGGGCCTCCAGCAACATAAAAATAAGAACCCCCAGGACTAAGCACTTGCTTTATGCCAGGCCCAGTACCTGCCACAAGGTATGGCAATTTCCATAACAACCCTGTGAGTTGGTGTAAATAATGTATTCATTAGTACTTCACTGAGGAATACGCTGAGGCTGTTTGCCCAAAGTCACTCAGCTAGTAAGTGGCAGAGTCAAACAAAACTTGGGAGCATGGCTCTGGCAGCTGCCTCTGTTCCACTCCTGGAGGGCAGTGTGTTAACATCTAGTGCATGCTCACATCCGAATTTCACTGGATCCTCTAAATCCTTGGGAGGTTACTGGACTCATCCAATTCTGTAGATGATGAAAGTGAGGATCAGAGAGGTTAAGTGATTTGTCACAGGCCATCTGGTAACTTTCAGTCCCAGAACCTAGCACTCTTTCCACTCTACTCATCTGTTAATATCAAAGATCACGTACCAAGTCCAGTTCACACAATTGTGGAATGTCGAGGTAAGGAAGGCCTTGAAAGGTGATCCCCACCTTATCTTATCCCAGATTGAGCCTTGAATCTTCTCTCCACATGCTGTGAAAACTGTGCCTCCACTTAAAACCCCTGCAGTGACAGGAAGCTGCTGCTACACCCTCCTCAGATCTTCCACAGGAAAGTTAAGCCACCATCTGCTACTGTGTGGCCTCCACTTAGAAGTGGAAAGTGAAGCCCCCTCGAAAAGTCCTAAAATAAACTGGGATTCCTTACGCTGCTCAAATGCTTCCACGCCTGCTGCTGCTTCCGAAACTGTTAGTGGTCAATCCTGGGTCCTTCAAGGGGCTACACGAGAAGAGCAGGTGTTAGGGGACCCTCGGCAAAGATTTCCCTCACTTCACACTAGTTGAGACCCTCTTGTGCTTCCATAGAGGTCCTTTGTGAACAACTGGGCTGCCATCTGAGTCCCATGAGGTAATGACCTGGAAGTGCCCACAGGAGGTTCCCAGAATGTAAATGAGTCATTAAAAGACCAGCCTAAGGCCCTAGGCTTGGGAAGGGACACACTCTGGGATCCTGGGCACCAGGGCTGTCAGAGAAGTGGCACAGACACGAGGACAGCATCATCACCAGTGGGCGAAGCAGCCCCCTGGCCCACGTAAGGAAGGATTTCATATGACAGAGCAGTGTTCACAGATGTGATGGCGCCCCTGGGAAGGAAGGAGCCCTGTTACAGGAAATGTGCAACTTCCATGACTTGAGTTGCCCCAGCCCTTGTTGAGTAAAGAGAGTGAAACTAGACTCTTTCCAGGGTCCCTTCAGCCTCCATGTTCTTGACCCTGACTCTGTGAAATTAGATTATGTGAATCAGATCGACTCTAAACTGGATTTATCTATACTGTTTGGCCATTCATTATCTTCCCCACTTACTTCCAAAAGTGGTTGGAGATGACTGTATCTCTTCCAGTAAAGCTAATACCAATCAGATCTTCTCAATAAAACTGTAGTTGACAGCACGAATCCTTTAGTGTCCAGTGTATGCAAAGAAGTGTGCACAGCCCTCCTGGCCCTTAGGGTTTATCACTAAAAGCCCCTCTCCTAGTCCCTCCTGCACTTGAACCTCAGAATCTCACGGCTGGAAAGAGCATGCACAGCCCTGTAGTCCCGCTCTGCTGTCAGATGTTTCACCATCCTCACACCGCACAGCCCATCATGAACATTCCAAGTGTTCTTTCTCTCACTGCTTCCACACCTCCCGTGATGGAGAGCTTACCCCTTCAAAGCAGCCTGTACCATCCATGGATGGCGTCTTAGTTTCCCGTGGCTTCCATAACAAATTACCACAAACTGGTGACTTAAAACATCTCACAGTTCTGGAGGTCAGAAGTCTGAAATCAAAGCAGGTCAGACCCCCTGTCAGAGAGAGGAGACCTAGCGCCCATCTAGCCCTGACACTCACTACCGCGGGGCCTGGGCCTTGCTCAGCCTCTTCGTCCCTGTGAGATGTGGCAGCCATGCCCAGTGCCCTTGTGGGAGGAGGGGGCCGACTTTGAGGGAACCAGCACAAAGCAGACCTTCACAGCTGTGGGTTCTTTCCCTCATCCGTGTCTGCTTCCTGGGCTTCTGGTTCCCCATTTTAAAAGGAATTTTTTAAAAATAAATCAGTTTGTGAGATAACACACTAAGAAAAGGAGAGGAGAACAACCATGACTGTATAACATAATACCAATTACAAAATGCCATTTACATTCTATATAGGACATTTCCATTTATAATATGCTTTCACATCCACCCTCTCACTGCATCTGGAAGGAAACCCTGTAAGAGAGGTATTTTTATTCCCATTCCACAGATATTGAAACTGAGGTCCTGAGAGGTGAAGTGACATGCCCAGAGTCACACAGCCAGTGGACAGCAGAGCAGATTCCAGATCCTCCGGCCTTGTGCCAGCCACCCTTCTGCCACACAGCATCGCGGTGCCAAAGTAAACCAAACCCCAAACCATAGTCCCTCACTGTGCTGCTAAGTGGCTCAGGCAGATGACCCATGCCCCAGCTGCAGTGAGGAGATCTCAGCAAAGAGGGCCTTTGTGGGAAGGTCTCCTGGAGATGCTGCACTGCAGAAGCCCCTGCTCAGTCAGCGGTCTCGGTCGGCTCTCCTTCCCACCCACACACTTTTCTGCCCTGCATTTTATCTGTACTTCCTTCTGCAGCCTGCCCTGCCCTTAGACCACCTGTGAAGATAAACTCTCAACACACCGCTTCAGATTACATTGGAGTTCTACCTGCTCAATTCTGTTGGGAGATACTGGTTAAGAGTAGATCTGCAAGGGACCGAAAACCAGAATAATAGTGGTTAAAGGGACAGTTAATTTCCCCCTCAAGTAAGCAGTCTCGGAGAGGTGTGGGGGCTCCCTCACCTGAGCTCCTTGCATCTGTGGGCCCCCATCTTCATCATGCTGCTTCCATGTTGTAGTCCAAGATGACTTAGTGGTCTGAACTCCACCTGTTCTACTCCATCTATTAGGAAGGAGGAAAAGAACATCTTTCTCTTTAAAGACACTTTCCAGAGCTTGTACGTACTTGCGCACACTACATGGCATTGTCCAAAACCTAGTCATGTTTAGGCTAGGAAACACAGTGTCTATTCTGGGTAGCTATGTGCATTGTAGGGTAACAGAAGTCCCAGACACAGGGGCTCCTGCTGGTATAATGGGAAAAAGACTGGACTAAACTTCTAGAGACACGGTCCACTTTGGCCAGCGTGTTGCTCTGTGGCCTGGGATAAGTCCCTTCCTCTCTCTGGGCCTCAGTGTTCTCTGTAGAACGAGGGGAGATGGTGAAGATCATGTCTGAAGGTCCTTCCCACTATGGCTCCTGTGGGTCTGTGCATGAACCAGGGGTGGGGGCAAAGGAGAACCAGACAGCTGTAACACTCCCGATCGGCACCCCCAGACTCAACCAGGGCCGTGAGCGGAGACAGGCGGTGACCTCCAGAAGACCTGGGTGATAGCTCAGCCCCAGCCTCCCGCCCCGCAACCCCCACTTCCCAAGTAGCCCTCTGTTCAGTTGCTTCTCAGAACAGAGAGTGTGTGCCACCACGTGGTAATGACCATCTTTCCTTTCTGTTCACCATTTCAGTTGTTCGGCTGCTTCTTAGCTTGGGAGACCCGCAACGTCAGCATTCCCGCGCTCAACGACAGCAAGTACATCGGGATGAGCGTCTACAATGTGGGGATCATGTGCATCATCGGGGCCGCCGTCTCCTTCCTGACCCGGGACCAGCCCAACGTGCAGTTCTGCATTGTGGCCCTGGTCATCATCTTCTGCAGCACCATCACCCTCTGCCTGGTGTTTGTGCCCAAGGTACGGGCAGTGCCCACAGCACACCCTCACCACCCTGGCCTCTGGCCTCTGGCCTCCAGCTCTGTCACAGGGGATTGCTGAGTTTCTTCCACTTCATAAGTTGTACACATTCTTTTTATGATGAACACAGCAGAAAGTTTGGAAAACGCAGAAGAGTAAAAGCCAGATTTTCAGAAACCAAACATAGTCCTACCACCCAGAAAAAAACGTTTTGTTTTGTTTTTTTACTGTTAATATTTTATGTGTTTCTTCCAGTGTTTTTAATAGTGAGGCAGTGGTGCTTTTTCAGATCTAGCTATAATTCTAGCACATATATTGCTTTGCAGTTTGCCTTTTTCACTTAATTTTTTGTGTTTTGTATTTCCCCACGTTTATAACCTCACTGAGGGAAAGTCCCACGTTTACTTGTCACTAGGTCTCTTATTGGTGCTCATTACAGTTGTTTCCGACTTTATTTATTATAAGCGACTTTTCCACATAACACATGTTCCTTATTTCCCATTATTCCCTTAAGATAGAGTGGCAGAAGTAGTATTAGTGGGTCACAAAGAAAAACCATTTCTAACAGCCACTTACATGTTTCATTCATCTGGAAAGCTGACCTGCAGGACCACCCTGAGAGGTGCTTTTCAAACATTATGCTGCCCAGCAGCAGGTAGGTGAGCCAGAGGCCTTGCCCTCCTGGGAGCCCCTGCAGTAGCAGATCTGCACAGAGGGAAGCCTGACCTCCGTGGGTCTCGGGAAACAGGGAGAGTGGGGAAGGAGTTGTTGGCCCAAGCAGGGGAGTGTCTGCCTAGGAGGAGATGAGGGAGAGATCACTCAGGGCCCCCCTTCCCCTAGAGGCTGCCCATGGCACCTGCATCCTCCTGGATGCCCAGTCAGTCCCCAAGCAGTGTCAGCTCTGCCCTAAGTGCCTCTGGCGAATACTCCTCCCTTCTCTAGTTGTCGACACCTGCCCAAGCTCCAGCTTCCTACACTCCGACGTTCTCTCTGTACTGCAAAAGATGCCAGATGATTCTGAGCCCCACTCTGGTCATGTCACTCTGCTCTGTCACCCTCAGTAGGTCCTCACTGCCCTCCTATCTCCAGGATCAAGTTTTTGACACTGGGCTGCCTTTCAGGACCCTGCAGTCTCCCCAGAAATCCCTATCCTCCATCCAAACAGCCCTTCTCCATAAGCGCCCTGAGCCCCAGTCTCCCTGGGCTGGCATATGCCGCTTCTTCCCCCTGGGATTCCCATATCCTCCCCAGCCTTCCCAGCCTTCCTCAGAGCTCAGCCCCTCGCCCCTGGCCCATGAGGCCCTGGTGGTCAGGGGTCGTGGCTCGCTCAGCCCCTGCTCTCCAGTCCTGAGCCCAGAGCCTGCCTTAAACCAGAGATGTTTCTCAACTAAATAAGTAAGATCAGGGTCAAGTGGCAACCTTTTCTCTTATATAAAAATGTCTTTGTCAGCAACAGAGCTAGTCACTAGTCTTCCCCCAACACTCACCAGTGGTTCTAACAAGAAGCCTGCACTCTCCTCCGTCCCACCATCTTTACAACTGTCACCTTCATGTTTATTCTCCACATGGCACAAGGCCCGAGGCAGAGTGAGGCTCAGCTGAGCCAGGCCTAAGGGGCCCTAGTGGACTCTGCAGGATAGTTGGGACGCAGGTGGAATCAGGGTCTGAAGACCAGACTTCTACTGACAAGGAACTTGACCGAGACTCAGCGAGGGGAAGGGGGCTGCCCAGGTCACGCACACGTGAACGGCAGAGACAGTCCTGAGCCCAGGGCTCTGGACTCACAGCATGTGCTTCCTATGGCCCCTGCTGCCTCCAGTGCAGGACCTGCGGGAAGGCTGGATGGAGGGTTCTCTTTTCAAACCCACCTATGTTCTTTCAGCTTATCACTCTGAGAACAAACCCAGATGCAGCAACTCAGAACAGACGCTTCCAATTCACTCAGAATCAGAAGAAAGAAGACTCTAAAACGTCCACCTCTGTCACCAGCGTGAACCAAGCAAGCACATCCCGCCTTGAGGGCCTGCAGTCCGAAAACCATCGCCTGCGAATGAAGATCACAGAGGTACCTCCCACAGCACTGCCAGCCAGGGCCCTGTCCTCCCTCAGGCGTCCCTGTGCCCCGATGCGGGGAACTGTGAGCTGCTGTTCCCATGTCTCCTCTAGGACACCCCTGCATCACAGCTGTGCAGCCCCAGCTGCCGTCGTGCCGGCTGCAGGCACCAAGGTGGACGTGAGCTAGACAGAGGCTGTTAGTCAGATCTGCAGGAGTGTATTCCCCGTTGGCCCAGGCCTGGGGTCCAGCGATGCCCTGATTCAATACATCCCCAGAAAGAACGGCGTTCTGAGAGATCTGTGAACTTCCCGATTGTAGCAGTGAGTTGGAAAAGCTCAGTGGTACACCTCCTGTGTGTCTCCTCTACTACTCACAAACACTTCACTTCTGACACTTCTGGTCACCAAATGTGTGGGGGCTTCTCCCCCACCAAGCAATTCTCTGCAACACCTGCCGGGTGACCTATGATTTAGCCCAGTTCTAACACTATCGGGGGACAGTGTCCGATCCCACGGGTTAAAGGCTCAGTCCCACAGCACTGCTCCCACCCCACTTCAGACGCCAATCACAAGTAGTAGGTCCCCAGGTTACCCTCTACTTCTGTCCTAAAAATTTAGCTACAAGTTTGGGGGTCCTACCATCCCCTCTTCAGGTTCAGATACTTTCCTAGAGCAGCTCACAGAACTCAGGGAAACACTCATGTTGACCAGTTTATTAAGGGGTATGATAAAGGGTTCAGAAGAACAGCCAGATGAAGGAATACATAGGGCAAGGTCTGGGAGGGACCCCAAGCACCTGTGCTCCTCCCACATGGAGTGGGGGCGCGTCATCTTCCGGTGTTGATGTGTTTGCCAGCCTGGAAGCTCTCCGAGCCCTGTACTGCTGGGGTAATTATGGAGGCTTCCTCACCCTGTCGGGAGAACAGGGTGGGGCTAAAAATTCCAAGCTTCTAATCATGGTTTGGTCTTGCCAATGACCAGCCCTCATCCAGGGGCCCACCCAGAGTTGCCTCATTAGAACAAAAACAGACTTCTCACACGGGAAATTATAAGGGTTTCAGGAGTCCTGTATCAGGAACCCAGGCAGCGGAGCACAAAATATATCTTCTGTTATTTCACAAGTAGCTTCCTAACTGTGTGCACGCCCCTCAACTGTTCACTCTCCACACTCACCTGTAATCACTTACATCTACGTGATGGACCACAAGAGAGAAGGAAGTAAAGAGAAACTTCCGGAGAGTGTGCTGCAGCAGACCTCACCTTTGTCCTGAAGGTCCTTCACTGGTTCTTGAGTATTTCAGAGGCCATAACCAGATTCTTTGGTGCCCAAGCCAAACTTCAAATGCTGGACTTCGTATACCAGGGAAGATAAACCAAATCAAATATTTGATTCTTTACACTTTCCTCTGCATTGTTGGAATTTCTTATGATGAACATGAATCATTTTTATAATGAGAATAAAATTTATCTTCATTTTGAAAAAGATTTTTAATTCAGACAAACAACCAGTCATATTTTTAGTGTAAGTATGTCCCACACAATATTTGGGATATACTTATTTTTGAAAATGATCCCTTATTATCTGAAATTCACATGTGAGTATTCTGTATTTCCAGTTGCTCACAGTCTCTGCCACAAGAGCCTCTGCACGGCGGTCTGGCATCTAGCGCTGGCTTTTACTGTGGGGCCGCCCTCCACTAGCCACGGGAGCAGAGTAGGACAGGTTTCTGTCCCTCGACTTCCACACTCCAGCAACGAAGAGTTTACTCACTTCAGGGAACCCAAAACCCAAGCCACTGTCAAATGCCCTAAGGTGTTGGGTTGTTTTTCCTGGACTTGAACTACAATCTGGTTTCCTGGTGCTTCCACCTTTGATCCTAGCCTTGCCATCTGAGTCACACAGAAAGAGGTATCTCTCACCTCCTGCACATGAAAACTTATTAAATAATTTATGGCTGTGCTCTTGACATCAGGACAGTACTTTACAGTTGACGTGGTCCCTCCCTTATGTTGTAATAGGGTGCCCCTACCCTCCCAACTACGGTCCACTCCCCAACACACACATTCCCCAGGGACTGGACTGCCTGGGGCTTGCATCTGATTCTCCACAACAGTGTGAAGCTAAGAGCTGGCCAGTCCTGCAGATCTGTTCCCCCGCACCAAGAACTCTGCTAGTATCAATAATAATAATTACAGTCATAATCTTACAGTGGCAGATTACTCTTATATGTGTTAAGCACTGAACTAAATTATTGTATTATCTCATTTAATCTTCTTAAGAACCCTGTAAGGTAGATACCATTATTACACCCATTGTACAGATGAAAGAACTAAAATCAGTCCTCACCAGCTAGCACACAGCCAGTGAGGAACAGCTCTGGGCTTGCCCCTAGGCTTGGCCAGCTTCAGAGCCTGCACTGGGATGTTCTCCCCTCCCTAGGCTGCTCCTTGAGGCACAAGGCTGCACTGAACACATCATTGCAAAGCCCAGGCCCCTCTCATCACAGCTCCTCCTGGAACAAGAGCTGGCAGGGCCGTCTGCATCTCTTCCCCAACATGCACCCGCCCCTCTGGCTCTCAGTGCCTCCCAAAACCAGCCCTGTGACCCTGTGAGCCGCTTCTTGGCTCTGGAGGCCTGGCTGCCAGGGCAGGGGCAGGGGCTGGGCTGGAGCTCTGACTCAGCTGGAGCCTTTGTCTTCTAGCTTGATAAAGACTTGGAAGAGGTCACCATGCAACTGCAGGACACGCCAGAAAAGACCACCTACATTAAACAGAACCATTACCAAGAGCTCAACGACATCCTCAACCTGGGGCACTTCTCCGAGAGCACAGGTAAAAGGAGGTGGAGTCCCTGCAATGAGGGGGCCTGGGTATCAAATACCAGCCATCAGCCTTCCGTTTTACAGATGAGGAAACCGAGGTCAGGGAGGGGCGGGCTGGTCTGAAATCACACAGGCAGAGCTGGAGCACCTGGAGCCCATATCTCTGGCCACAGTTCAGTGTCCATCTAGAGCCCCACTCTGCTGACCCTGAGGCTTCAGTTGCTTCTGTACACACATGGCCAGCATTCCGTGTTCTGATGGGGGCACATTGTTCTTAGCAAATAGATCACATGTACTCCTCCAAACGACATGTCTTAGTTTCCAATGCGCCACATCAATGTACAGGAAAGGAATCGTCAGTAGGATATGACATGACCCTCTCTCCCCACAACCACCTGGGAAATGAAAGCTGAAGTAACACAAGCCATTTTGGTTTCAGCAAAATTTTAGATTCCAGTGTAGGTAAGAGTGTGTGGAACTGAGAATTCTCCTGCAACGTTTTGGAAGCCAGTCTGGCACTCTCCAACTGTTAGATGTGAAACCTCTCAACCTAGCAATTCACTAGCGGGAGCCCGTCCTAGGAAATACTCCCACATAGGCAAAGATACAGACACACACTGTTCATCACGTTATTTTTAGGGGAGAAAAACTGGAATTAACATAAATGGTCATTATTTGGGGGAGTTTCGTTAATTATGGTACAATAAAACAAGGCACATAATACTGCTATTAAAAAGTGAGGTGGGCCCGGGTTGGTGCTCAGTGGTTAGAGCATCAGCCTGGGCACTGAAGGGTTGCGGGTTTGATTTCCAGTCAAGGGCATGTATTGGATTGCAGGTTCGATCCCTAGCCCCAATCAGAGTACATTAAGGAGGCAACCTATCGATGTATCTCTCTCACATCGATGTCTCTCCCCTGCTTCCCCTCCCTTCTACTTTCTCTTAAAAAAAAAAATCAATGAGGAAAAAAAATCCTTGGGTGAGTATTAACAAAAAAAAAAAAAATGATCTATTTGTGCAGATATGGCAAGATCTCCAAGTGAAAAGCAAGATGAAGACTAGCATTATGATATATATAAATTGCATGTGAGTGTAAGTGCATTTTTAAAATTATTTGGAAGAACAGACACCAAATAGTTAACAGTACCCACCTGTGTGGAAGGATGGGTGAGAAGGGAATCTTTTACAATTCATTTTATATACTTCTCTATTGTTTGCATTTTGTCGTTAGCATACATTCATTTTTATTATAAAATTAATTTTAAGTCAATGAAAAAATCTTGTTTCTTTTATTATTACATGAGTAATAAGTATTCTTATTATAAAATTAATATATAAAATTATAATTAATTTTATTATATATAATATAGTTAATATATTAGAAAAGCAATATTATAAATTTATTGTATATTGATTGTTTAAAATGTTTAAATGGAGGTAACAAGGAAATTGAAAGAATAAAAATTATTTCTCGTAAAAGATGGGCATTTCAAATTAGTAGGGGAATGAATTATTTAATAAATATCATTGGGATGAAAATAATGTTAGATCCTTACACTTTACACAAAAATCCAAGTGGATAAAATATTTAAATATAAAAGGTGAAACCATGAATATGCTAGAAGAAAGTATAGAAGAATTTATAATCTCAGAGGAAGGAAAGGCTTTTTAACTTTGATGCAAAACACAGAAACCACAAAAGAAAAGGTTGACAAATTCAACTACAAAAGAAAAAAATAATTTTAAGCCTCACCCAAGGATAAGTTTTTATTGATTTGAAAGAGAAAAACATTGATGTGAAAGAGAAACATCGATGGGTTGTCTCCTATTCATGCCCTGACCGCACTCTGACCTCAAACCTGCAACCTAGGTATGTGTCCTGACCGGGAATCAAACCCACAACCTTTTGGAGTACGGAATGAAGTTCCAACTGCCTGAGCCACCCGGCCAGGGCCAATAAGAACATTTTTTCACAGTGCAAAAGCCATCATAAGTAGTAAAATAATTAAACAACAAGTAAGCCAAAATATATTACAACTCAGGTAACAAGCTCATTTCCTTAGATATAAGGAGAAATTATATGTTGCCTACATTGGTTGACCTGATTTCACATCCCCACCCCCATTTTATTATTTTGTTCTTGGAGAAAAGGAGGGCAGGGGGCACACCATACACATCTCCAGCACGCCCTTCCGTCCCTGGGTGGAGGCTTCTCCGCGCCCAGCCTTGGTCCCAGGAGAGCTGCTGAAGAGACCATGGCTTGGAGAATGCAGAGGGATGCGGGACTCTTTTGCATCCTCACTCCTGGGGCAGCATCCTAAAAATACTGCACTGTCAATTTTTAAAAATCAAGTTAATATCGCGTGTTGTGACGTTGTTTTGCATTCAGATGGAGGAAAGGCCATTTTAAAAAATCACCTCGATCAAAATCCCCAGCTGCAATGGAACACAACAGAGCCGTCAAGAACATGCAAAGATCCTATAGAAGATATAAACTCCCCGGAACAGTAAGTACCTTCTCCTTGAGAATTGCTGTCAGAGTACGTGACACCTGCAGAACAGTTTACAGTTTACCATGCACCATGTCTTCATGCCCTTTATTTTAGTTGAACTCCATAGCAATCCCATGGTGCAAGTCAGATGACAGTGCTCATTGTACAGATGAGAAAACTAACATTGAAAAAAGAAGGTGACTCGTCAAAGCTCATCCAGTTGCTATGTGCAGGAGATGGGATTTGAACTTGGGTCTGTCTAATATCAAATCCCAGGTTCTCCACTGTAGCACATCGGCTTTATTGTGTATAAAACTTAATCTTGCTGAATGCGTTTATTTAACAATGATTTACTGAGACCTACTGTGTGTCAAACCCAGCAGTAAAGAAAACAGACAAAACCCCCCCCCTTCATGGGGCTACCAATCTATTTTTAAGACAATAACTTAATTAGAAAAGCAAAACCTAGTATGTTAAATGGTGGAGAAAAATAAAGCAGGGAAGGGGGTTAGAAGTATAGTTTTAAATAGGTTGGTCAGAGAAAACTCAATGAGAAGAAAACTTCTAAGCACAGACCTGGACATCTCAGTTCGCTTTGTTCCCAGTGGTAGTTTTTAGTTCTTCCCAGCTCACAACAGATTGGAAGCAGAGATTAGAAAGGTCAACCCTGCAAGTTGGCTCCTGGGAAGTGACAAGCAGTGAGAACCAGCAAAAACAGCTGAATCACCAACTGCCTTGCCGTTTGGGGCCATTCAGTGTTAGAGCTAATAGCCTCTCCACCCAATTAGCTCCAAGGCGCACTGGCTTACAGTCAGAACTCTTAGTGATGGTTACATGGCATGTGTCAGCGATTTACCTGTCAGTTCCCTACACTAGAATGTCAGCACCATGACAGTAAGATATGGGTCCTTCATATGTCCCTTGAACTAAACACAGGTTCAAGAGCTGAGTAGGTTCTTGGCAAGTGTCTGATGAATGAATGAAAATGTAAACATGATCCCACCAGACAGCAGAATTCTGTGGCTCTGACAACCAGACAGATGCCCACCTTGCCCAGTTAGATGGCACCCTTCCCCAGGTCAGAGTTGATTCTTCAGCTCCCTTGTTCTGGACTCTTTTCCAACACCATCTTGCCTTAAGGAATTGGTCATAGTTGATGTTACAGAGGTTCAAAATGAGATCTCTAACACCCTTATCTCGTGAGCACCTGCAAAGTATCTCTTGAGAGAAGCCCTTTTGGCCAACAGGTCCTTAAAAGGAGTGGGGGCAGCCAGCCCTGCATCTGTCCCCATCCGTCTCAGATCCCGACCAATGCCCTCCCTACGGTCCAGGCACAGCCTGTTGCGTTGAGGCAGCCACTGTGATTGGCCTCCTCCACAGAACTCTGTGGTTTAACAGAAGCAGAAGTCCCACCTTGTTTGTTTCTGCTTTGTTTCTGTGAGCAAGTTACATAAACTCATCTTTAAAACGGGAATACTGCTTTTGCCTTCTGGGTTTTTGTGGAGATCTGGATTTTCGTCCCACCTGCATGGCCAGGCGCTGGGGACACAGCAGGCCTAAGAATACAGGGAAGGCAGCTTCCCAGCTGCCATGGAGATGTACACAAAGCACAGCTGGGCAAAGCAGGGGCGGTGGCCTGCGCACATCCCCCAAAGCAGCTTTCCCAACAACTAAGGTGACTTCCTGACCTGCCCATCACGGTGAAGAATGATGAGAAGGTGAGCGTGGAGGTGTGGCAGTAGAAGGGAGTTGGAAGGCAGTTCCATTTCCAGTCTGCTCCTCCATCGGTCAAGCAAACCCTCCCCCAGCTCCGGCTCCGGTATTTCTGGCTGCATTTCAAAGTTTCCGAGGGCTCTGGGGGCTCAGAGGAGGAGTGGGCTCATTCTCTGGGGGAATTTGCACAAAGGTGACATTTGAACTGCATCTTAAAGGAAAAGAGCTCATCAGATGGGAAGTAGAACAAGGTTCTCCAGGCGGGGGAACAGCCTATGCAGAGGCGTGGAGAGTGGCCATGAGTAGTGTTTCAGGGGAAACTAGCTGGCGGAGGGTATAGCTTATGGAGAGAGGGAGTAGAAGATCCAGCTGGAGAACCTGGCAAGAGGCAGATCTTAGAGAGCCCTAAGTGTCCCATCTCAGTGTTGAAGAAATAATGCTAGTCACCGAAGACCAGGAAGGAACCTTCTGGAATTGGCCCAGCAAGAAGGGCTGAATTCCTGGACGAGGCAGGGAGGCAGAGCCAGTGGGGAAGGATGGGTCAGCTGAGAAGCCTTTCAGGGATGAAACCCAAAGCCACGTCCATGTGGAGGCCTGCAAGAGTAGACAGTGAGAGCTGTCTGTGTTTGCAGAAAGCCCTGTTGAAAGGGCAAAGCCTTATTCTTAGGAATCACCGGAAGCTCAAGGAGCACCCTCCTAGCTTACTGTCTCCCTGGTTATTGCCAGGGCGGTACAGGTAGGCCTGCATTAAATACCTGCTAGATGGATGGTTAGATGATCTTGAATTCAGAGAATTCAGAGAAAACTGTGCTACTCACCATCAGCCTCTTAGCTGAAGCGAGTCCAGGGACTTTCTGGTGAGCAGCCAGATAGCCTCCCTTAACACTCCTCCCTCTCTCTGTCTCCCTGCCACAGCATCCAGCGCCGGCTGTCCCTCCAGCTCCCCATCCTCCACCACGCCTACCTCCCGTCCATTGGAGGTGTGGACGCCAGCTGTGTCAGCCCCTGCGTCAGCCCCACCGCCAGCCCCCGCCACAGACATGTGCCACCCTCCTTCCGAGTTATGGTCTCGGGCCTGTGAGGGTGGTAGGCCTGGGGCTGGGCCTCCCCCATGACAGAACCACACAGAGCAGAGGCGTCTGCTACAGGAACACTGTCGGATCTGGCTGCGGAGAAGCTGGGCGCCATGCTGGCCTTGCGGGACTCTTGGATGGCACTCCGGTGGACAGGATGGGGCGCACTTGGCACCTGACCTCGCGCCTTATTTGTGAAGTTTTTATTCTTTCACAAAGAAGAGGAATGGAAATGACTTCTTCCTTAATGTCTGCAAAACAGGAGGAACTGAAATATTTGAAACTTTGAGAGAAAAAAACCTAGACAAGGAAAGAGTCACTAGAACTCCAGCTAGAAGTCGCTGCACAGCCTTGGGAAGAGGAAGGGCTGCTGGAGAAACGGCCTTCGCCTCTGCACACCCATTGCTGGCTGCAAACCCCAGGCCAGCCCTTCTCCCCTCTGGGGACAGAGGTGGGAAGGGCAGTCAGGCCCGCAGCTGCCAGTCCAGCCAACCAGCCTTCCTGGAGCAGGGAGCCCACAGGAAGGGCAGCCAGGCACAGCTCTGCAGCAGGTGGCCCAGGGCCGGGGTGCGGGAGCAGGCTGGCTCACAAGCCTCCTGGTGGGAACTTACTCTCTGATAAATGCCACACATTAACACAATAACACCCGTTCTGAACCGTGGGGATTTAGGGCACGTCACTGCAGACACGCTCTGCAGCATTCACCGACGGTCGGTCACGCACCCACCTCATTGGCCATGTCCTTGTGTTTGCATCAGGTGTTCCTGGTATTAAGGGGGGCCACCTGAGCTAATCATGGGCTGTCTGCTCCCAGCATACACAAAAAAGAAAGATTGTGCACTTTAACCTCTCTCATCAGGGCCCAAGGGCTTGCTGGGTTGTTGCTGTTATTGTTTTTTCCCACTGACTTTGTTTCTGACCAAAGTGAATCATGGGCATTCTTCTAGAAGACATCCCTGTACTCATAGGGGAAGGAGTTGCTAGCTGAGGGCTTCTCTCGGCTTCAGAAGGCATCCTTCAGTCCAGGCTGTGCCCATGGGGGGCACAGGGGTGATCAGTCAGCACACTGTCACTCTTTCCTTGTAGTTGAACCCCAAAGGGCACCTCCTGAGAGTAAGACACCCCTGGGTTCAAGTCTTTACTCCACTGCTGACTCCTTCCATGATCTTGGGCAGGTCACTAATGTCTCTCTGAGCCTCAGTCTCCCCTCTCTAACAAGTTGGGCTTGAAATAATACCCATCCCTGCCTATCTCACCTGATCTCATGCAGGAAAGCTTCATACCAAACAATGAAGCGACCTGATCCGCGAGGTATCAGGACGACCGTGACCTTTAGCCCTCACAACAGCCAGGGGAGTGGCCCACAGAAGCTCCCAACACAGCCCTCTACCAGGATCAGCTGGCTGAAGAGAGGCTCCCTATGACCTTTGTGACCTTCCTAGACAGGTTCATTCTTTGCTGAAGAAAGGCCTGAATGGCAACGTCCAGGACATCTGCACAACTGAGCAGTCGCTCACTCCCTAAAGAAACCTAATGGCAGCTTCCACAGGCAGGCAATAATCCCTTCCCAGACCACTGACGTCAGGAATATGCTGCTGTCACCACCAGGCTTTGACAAAAGGGCCCACGGGGATCTTACCATCACCAACATTTCAGAACACCCTATTTCACGTAGTGTAGCTTTCCTCTCCCCTCCCCCAAAGAGAGGTTATGGAGGTACTGTAGCTTTTAGGGGGAAAAAATGTTCACACATCACAGGTCAAGTTGAAGTCATTGTCTGTTTAGGCACTAAAAACCGGTGTTGTCACTCACTGTGTATTACAGTATTTACTTGCTTTCTTGATTTCACCAAAATCAGATTTAATTTAAAGGGTCACATTAATTTTTCAAAGAGAAAGAGATAATTCATTGTACATAATGTATACACACAAAAAAATACCTGTAGAAATATTATTCCAGCATAGCAGGGGAAAAAGAAACAAAAGTATTGGACAGTCGGAGGTGAGTGTGTGCGTCTGTAACCCATTGTGACTCCTGAACGTGCACAGTCTTCTAGGTTAACCCACAAAGTACATTCTCTGTCTTACTGATACTGTAGGTTCACCCATTTTTTAAAATTTCCCTGCAAATAACAAGACCCACAGAAGTGACTCTAGCTACTTAACGGTCTGTTCTTTTATACGCAGCAAACACACCGCACATTTCTGAAAAGGCTTCATTCAGCCTGAGGTGTTTTCCAATGATGTTAGTGCACAAACGCTTTCAATTAGACTGGAACTGCCAGAATCAAATGTACATGAGGAATTTCTCGTCCCCCTATTGCATGGTATCAATTTTTAATAAATTGTTGCAAATTTGTTTTTATGAATAAAAGGGAAAAAACTGTCGTCTGTAATGCCTACTCTCAAGCCCAAAATGCAGGTCATTTCAGGCCATATTCCTCTGCTCAGAAACTCAAGGGACAGTTCTGGGGTTGCCTGCTCAGCACTGTTCCTTCCGAAGCTGCCCGCCCTGCCTTCTGCTGACAGCGCAGCCCTGTTACCATTTGGCACAGCTTCTGGCCACAGGTGATGGATCTAAAGTGGGAACCGGACCTGACTGAGCTGGGCCAGTAAGTCCCTTCCCCAGGTCTCTTCCAGGTAAAGCAATGTAGTCAGCCACAGAACAGAAAAATGAAGCCGGTCAAGGACAGCTGTTCCTGAAGGCCAGCAGCACCCTGAGCCTTCCCTGCGGGGGGTGCAGGCCTTCCTTGGAATCTCCACTCCTCCAATAAATCACCCTTTTTGTCAGGGTTGGTTCAAGTTCAGATCTCATCACTTGGAACCAAAAGGTTCCTGGTTAATCCAGAAACCTTACTGTTCCCCCACCCCCAGCCCCGACTCCCCCTCCAGACCAAGACAGCCTGTGAGATTTGGCCCCTGCTCCTTTCCAGCCTCATTACCTGCCTCCTCTAATCGGACAATGGCATGCCTCTTAGGTAGGAAACTGTTAGGGAAAATATCTTGACTCACCATGGGGGCAGGGGAGAAAGATTCTGGAAACAAGGCTAAAGAGAGACAGGGCAACCGTTGGTTAGAAAGGACTAGAAATTGGGGAGGGGAAGGAGAGAGAAAGGTGAGAGAGGATGGAAGCCAAGTTCAAGTAACATGGCAAAGTGGCCAAAAGATCTTTAAGAACAGATGTCAAACATTTGATTTTAAGTCATTTGTGTTGCTATGAAGTAAACCCTCTCCTTCACTTCACCCCCTCCTGCAGAATGTCCCTAAAAACCTTCAGTACCCTTACTATACAAGCAAAAGTCTTGTGGATTTGGGTGGAAATGAAAGAAAGAGACAAATACTTTTTGGATTTAGGTGGAGGCCAAAGTGGGGACAGAAGAAGTAAACCACACGGTGCAGAGGGAAAATACGCTCCCTGCACAAGCAGGAACTTGGAGCCCCAGGTGGTCACCAACTCCCAGAAAATCACAGGAGCGTCGGAAAGGCACAGGAATGGGAAGTGTGGGTTATCCCCTCTAGATCTCACTGGCCATCATCACCCTTGCTGACATCTAGGTTATCTAAGTAACAGGAAACATTTTCTCCTGTAGAGCCATATATCTCAAAGGTCCTGAAGGCAAAGGTAGAAATCCTAGAAAGCAAGACCAGTAACACCATGCTCACCTACCTCACAAAATAAATTCCATGCTCACAGCTTTGGAATGGAGTGAAATTGGAGAAGCTGCCCGCCTGCGGAGCTATTAGCTTGGCTGTCTTTGCTCTCAAGGTCATGGCTGCCCTCTTGCTCGGGTCCACCAGCCTGTTACTGGAGAGTTCTGGCACATGGGGAGTTAGGGCTCTGAGCCAAGAGGAAACACATTTGCTTTTTCTCTGTCTGAATCCCAATGGAACAGACCCAGGGCAGTATTTTTCAAACTTGGAAATTATAGAGACACCTTTTAAGACATGGTGTTGACTTTGATTGTTTTTATAAAGCAAATTACCTAAATATGTTCAAACTAGATATAAACACATGCTTACATCCTTCATGTAAAAGCCAAATAAATTTATAAATTAAATGCAAACAAAATGACAAAACCAATAGAAAACATATTAACAACACTGATTTAATGAGACAAATGAGCTTTTGCTGAAAAATAAATTGCAGCTCACTGTGCGAGCGTAGCACCAACTGCTCCCAGGCACATTCCTTTGAATTCGCCTGCCTGGTGTGATGACTCAATTATCACACTGCTTTTCCTTACTTAAACTACTGTGACAGCTTCATTTATTCAGCAGGACATGATGTCACTTGGCCCTCACTCAGCTCTAACACATCACTTCTCTATTCAATCCACCTTTGCTTTTTTCTCAGGAGCCTTTGACAGTCACGGGGCCCCCCCAGATAACACACACAAATCAAACGTTGATTGAGTGCTGATGCTCATTAAACGCTAGGCTTAGTGCTTTGCAGGCATAATCTCATTTAGATCTCACAGGGACTCTAGAGCAGGAACAATTATTGCTGCCCTTTTGCAACTAGACACTGGCACCGAAGATGAGTGCCATCCTGGGTCACGCAGCTGGAATGATAGAGAAGGAATCTAGAGCACACCCTCTTACCACTTCCTTAAACTGCCTCATCAGAAGCAGCTGGATTCAGATCACCCAGAATATGCCAATTCAATTCATTTTAGGTTACCTTAAAATTAAAACACAATTTTTTAATGTATACATTTGCACACCTCTGAGATTCATCAAGTGATGAGATTTGAACTTGAATAGACAGAGGCTATAAGCCCAGTCTGGGCACCTCTGGCCCAGGCAACGTGAGAGGGGGAAACCCTTACTGCGCTGAGGCCCAGGCAAGCCAACAACATGGAAGAAGCAGAAACAAAGCTCTCCCAAGTTGCTCATCGCCCATATCCCCCCTGACCACTGCATCTGGAGCATGCAAGCCTCCAAGATCTGACAGAAGGATTCTGCCAGCATCCAAAGGCAAGATAGAAGATGCTCACCCTTCTGGGGGAAATGCCAGCCCTGGGTATGATAGTCACTGCTTAGAAATGACCAGGCTGGCAAATGCTATCAACATAGGTCAGAAAAAAAGTATGATGTAGTATATTCACAGAGTGGAATATTATACAGCAGTGAGAATGGAAAAAACTACAACTACATGTGACGATATTAATGAATCTAAAAAACATGTAGAGTGAAAGAAGCCAGACATAAAAGAGGGTGTATTGTAAGATTCCTTAATAAGTTTAAAAAGAAGCAAAACTAATTTTTAGACATCAGAACAGTGGTTACCCTGGGTGGGGAAGGTGGTGTGAGGAGGGCTTCTGGGTGCTAGTAATGTTCTGGCTCTTGATCTGAGCAGTGTTTACAGGCCTGTGTTCACTACATAAAAATTCTTAGAGACCTAGCCTTTTTGGCTCAGTGGCTAGAGCATCAGCCTGTGGACCAAAGGGTCCCGGGTTCAATTCTGGTCCAGAGCATATCTTGGTTGCAGGCTATTCCCTGGCCCAGTTCCTGGTCTGGGCTCATGCAGGAGGCAACCAGTTGATGGGTTTCTCTCACATTGATGTTTCTCTCTGTCTTTCCCTCTCTCTTCCACTCTCCCTAAATATCATGGAAAATTATCCTTGGGTGAGGATTAACAACAGAAAAAAAATTTCTTTGAGCTGTACACTTAGGATGTGTGATTATATGTGCATAGTAACACACATACATATCACACACATATGTATATTTTATATATTATCCTAGTGGCCCGGTGCACAGATTCGTGCACATTGAAAGGAAATTAATTAGAAAGTGGCCAGTGGGATGGGACTGGGTGAGACAGGGCCGGACATGCCCTAGAGCCAACCTCCTGCAGTCCCTCCCCGGCCAGCTGCACCTGGGGCAGCGCTGTGGCTCGAAAGGCATCTGCGGTCACTGCAGCTCAGCAGTAAACCAGATTCGGAGTCAACAGGGCCCCATCAACAACATAACCCATGACCGAAGGTGGAATCACACAGCCAAGGAATTGGGCTCACTCCTCTCTGGTACTGGGGTGTGTCACCCGAGAACCACCGCCACCAAGTCACCGCAGCTCGGCAGCTCCTGCATTGAGCATCTGCCCTCTGGTGGTCAGTGCGCGTCATACCTACCAAACGGTCGGATGGTGGCACGGTCACTTAGCCTTTTACATATAGATATACACATAAAAATATAAATATGTATATGTTACATATACATATTTCTATAAAAATCGTATACTAGTATGTATATAAAGAAATCACACATCATTTATTATATACTTCAATAAAATATGCCTTTTCCTGGACAGTAAAAAAACATCCATTAGAGTCTATGAAGATTCTGCAGCATAAAGACAAACAGCATACAACAAGCTGAGAGTGAACATACTTTGGGAAAAGGTTTTCTGCAGGAAACAGAAGTAAATGCCAAATATCATCTGCATCTGCTCTAGTCTCGAGAAAAATTAGTAAAACCTCATTTCCATGAGACAAGAGATTTTATAAATTGATGAGACAATGGGCTGAAAAGAAAAAAAGAAAAGGTGGGGAAGGAAGGAGGGAGGAGAGATGGAGGGAAAATTCTAGGATGGAGGTAGTGTCAAATTTAACCCCTTCCCTCTCCCAGTTTCTTGCTGCAAATAACCTCTCCACCTCAATAGAGGAGAATCCTCATACCATCTTCCCCACTACCCATCCCCACCAAGGGTAACCACATGCCAAGCATGTGTTATAGTGTTTATAGAATCTTGAATAAAAATAAGAGAGTTTAGAAAATGATCTGGTACAAACGAATGTTGGTCCCTACCAGCTCAAAGACCCTAGGATTCCTAGAACTCATGCTAATCCTAGTAGCTAACACTTGCCAAATGCTTTCTATGGGCCAGACACTGTGTAAGCACTTTATGTGGTTTACCTCACATAATCATGTAATAACACTATGCGGTAGGTGCTATAATTATCCTGCTATACAAATGAAGAAACTCAGGCAGAGAGGCTAAGTAACTATGTCCAAGGTCAGACATCTGTGATTATAGAGCCAGAATTCAAATACAGAATGTCTAACTCTGGAACAGTAGAAAAGAAGTGATGAAGGTACCACCAAGATTTGATATTTAATTTCCCATGAGAATTTTCTCTCCCCACCCATTAAATGATGCTCCTGTATTTCTTACCAAGCATACCAAGAACATAAAACACACAAGTCTAGTGTTTTTTTTTTATTTCTCTGGCTTATAAATTTGTGAAAATTAAACTAAAATATTCTCTCATGTTATTTGATTCTTTAAAATAAAATAAATTTAAAAGCAAGTTTCTCTGGAACCAACGTTCCTTTTGTATAATCTGGTTTACATTCAGAATTTGAAATGGGATATAAAATAGAACATGTTCAATGTATGCACTGTCAGGTCATTTCTTTCAAAATTCTATAACTAAGTGCTGTAAAACATGTGCTTGATGTGTAGAACTGAATTTCCATGAGGCTCAGTCATATAAAATTGGACTGATGGAGTAGACATTTGTTACAATGATCCTGCCAAGTAGCTAGGGAGCCAATTTTGACCTTGAATGTCATGTTAAATGTTGTTTATCTGTTTTTAATATTTTATAGGAAAACTGCCAATGAGAACCTTGTTTGCAAATGACTTGTAGGTTTAAATGAACCTAATTCCTTTAAACATTATCTATTTGAAAATAATGTGCCAAATAAACATGAATCCTTGGGTTTTATCAATTGAAAACGATATTACTCAAAAATAGGTGTGTTAGGAAGTATATCATGATGTTTTGTTCACCAGAAAGCCTAACTTTTTTTTTTTTTACTTCTGTGGTTTATTTTTATTTTCTTTCCTGTCTCCCCCAGCCCTCAGAAATGCCACCATATAGAGCCCAGTAGCAGTTAGCTCAGGCTCCAATCTTCCCCTTGGGTAAGAAAGGGTGGAGAGAAGGGAGTCACTCCTGAGTCTCCATGCTTTCCTCCTCCTCTCCTTGAGGTGGTTCTTCTGTATTCTCCTCCTCTTCCTCCCCTTCCTTCTTCTCTGGTGGCTTCTCATAAGCCTTTTCTGAAGGTGTCACTATCACTCCATCCCAGGTAGATATTTCAGAAGCAAGATAGCTGGCATTACTCTCCTGGCCAAGGATCTTCCTAAAGCCACCGTGTGAGAGGATTCGGACCAGAGTCTGAGCTGTGTAGCAGACCATGTCCTGCTGTTCCAAAGTCATGACCGTGTGTACTCCGAAGTTGCCACTCTCACAGGGGTCTGTGATACCCATTGACCCTGGCAAGAACAGTCCTGCAGCCAGAATCTGCAAGCAACGCCTGCATGCCACACTGAGCGCCAAAGGCTGTCTGGTGGGGTTGTTCATCAAAACATAGTGCCCGAGTAGGTCAAGGATCCAGGTGTGAGGGGCTCAAAGCCAGGAAAACGAATCCTCAGGTCCTTCAGAAGTCTGATGAGAACTTTAACTGTGGACTGAGAAGCATTTTCTTCAAACCAGTGGGCATGGCGGATGGCTGCTAAGGCACTCTGCAACACCTTGATGTCCAAATGGAGTTCTGGATCCAGTTTTCAGAGATTGGGTGGCACTGTTGTAATGAGAATCTTCACTGTAGCATCAGAAGAACTGATCTCAAAGCCAGTTTCATTGGTCAGCATGGTCAAAACTTTAGCCAAAACCGGTTTGGCTCAGTGGATAGAGCGTCGGCCTGCGGACTGAAAGGTCCCAGGTTCGATTCCGGTCAAGGGCATGTACCTGGGTTGCGGGCACATCCCCAGTAGGAGATGTGCTGAAGGCGGCTGATCGATGTTTCTCTCTCATCGATGTTTCTAACTCTCTATCTCTCTCCCTTCCTCTCTGTAAAAAATCAATAAAATATATTTAAAAAAAAAAAACTTCAGAAAGATCCTGTGCTCTTAGGCTTTCCACGACTTTGTTCTCTAGGGCAGCAACGGCTTCCAACGTTGGCAAAATCTTTAGGATTACCACCAGGTCAGCCACATTATGTCCTGTAGTCATTGTTCCCTTTTTATAT